GTTGTACTGCAGTTTAGGTGGTGGTTTGATCTGAAGCTGAACCAGAAGTGCCCGTACGTGTCTAATCTATATTTATTTGAACCAAATATTTGGCAATACTGCAAAAAGCCTCGTGCATAACAAATGCATCCCGTATTGGACCTTGAGCCGTTCAAACACCCCGTTTCTAGTTGGCTTCCTCTCCACGTCTCCGTAAGTGCTGGTCGCAGTCTGCTCACGAGCTTCTTCTTGTTCCTTATTTTCGCCAAAGTTGCCAAGTACGTAAGAAAGAGACAAAAATCGGTACTTTAGGCATTCTAATAGCACGCCAAACCTTCTCACATATACCCCCCGAGTGATATAATTAGGTGAACTTGAATGCAGTGAGCAGGCGCAGATGTGGTAATTCTCGCAGAATTAAGTTGGCCTCGAACAGTGGATGGTACTTCAATGTATTTGGTCGTTTTGTTTTCAGTGGCGGTGTCTTGTATCCTGTTGGCAACTTGGCACTAATCCAACTTTGTAATACTCAAATAGTTTCTTTCATCGTTCAAATCAACGCTCCTTTACAAGCTTTTTCATTACAATCCTTTTTTTATTGTCAGCAACTATCTGATCAGATGCAGGATTAGGTGTTTGTTTTGTTTCCTTTATATCCGTATTTTCATCATCACTGCGTCTGCTTCTTATCATTGTTCATACTTTTATCAGTAGCCATTAATCTACTCACCCAACGCAAACGTTTTAAAAGTGTGAAAGATAAGAATTTGTCAAATGGATCGTACCGCTGAAGCCTTCAAATCCATGCTGCATTTTAACAAAGTACAGATATCGGCCCGATGACGATGAAAAAGAAAAACGCGCCTGTGAATGGTGCACCAGAAGGTCTTAGAAACATGACCAGATAACACTTTTCTTGGAATAATGCGCCAGTCGGACAAAAGTGTGATGATGAAAAATAAAATTTTTTACTCATTATTCATGCAATCTATGAAAGTTTCGTATAAATGAATAGGTGCGAATTTAATCATTAATTAGTCACTGATGTTCTAAGAAGGCCAGCGGAAGTTTTTCAAAAGTATTGCTAAAGAAACTCTTTATGTTCCACGGTTAAAATTATTTTCTCAATGAAATTATATAGTTTACTTTGAGCAGTCTTTTTGTTGTTGAAAAACATCAATTTTTTTGTCTTGCTCCCGTATGAATTGTTAAATCAATCAAATCATAGGGTTGATGGTGTTGATCAAAAATTATACACGAACATATATTTCGCAACCGAAACGTGAGAAACTTATTTGTTACATTCTCCAGGAAATTGCGAAAACTTCCGTTTTATAAATTTCTCAACTTTCTTGTATTTTGTCAAGTTTTTATCATGCGCGGGATTTAACGCTTCTCATAATAAATAAATTTATCTTGGATGCACTGAGTGAGTCATTAGTTTTAATATACTTTTGTTTATTACTTAATGTCACACTAGGGTCCTATAGAGTTTCCAGAACATAAAGACCTTTTTTGATTGCACAAGAGTACAAGTGTGTTTTTATTTTGTTCTATTTTAAAAAAGTAATTTAAAATTTAATTTTTTTGTTTTCCAAATTTCGGACCTACAGTTTAGTGTTTGACAAAATCATTAAAATCGTAAAACTTTTATTATTGAGAATAATTAAGGCAAAACCTAAAATGCTGTAATAAGTCAAAACATTTCTAAAACTCGTGTTAAGTACAACAAAAACTTTAAATACATTTGTTATGAAAATCCAATATATCTGGTTCAAATGATCTTCTGCAATATTTTTGGGCAAAAAAATAATCTACTGGCCGCAAATACCTGATATACCTACCTAGTCGAGGACAATTTTTTGACTAACCTAATTTTTTCTAAATATGTACATACATACATTTATTGAAACGTTGCAAATAATTAAAATAAAAAAAAATGTTTCTTTGTAATCCTGTATTCGTTTTTAGTCCTGTGGCATATTCAGCTTTTTTAAATGTATTTCACGGTATTAATAAAAAATTCGAGCGTTTACCAGTTACAAGAATCGAATGAAATAATTGAGAAGAATGGATTTGATTCGATTATCGATTTAGAGTATCTCGAATTAATTATTCAACACGAGAGTTGACCTCATATTTACGTAGAGGGAGGGTTCATGAATGATGAGGGAACAGCAAAAGGATATCTATTGATATCGCAAAAATATGTAATTCGAGATGTACTGGCTAGAGGCATAAAAATTCGATTTAAAATGGGAACAATATAGTCATCTTAAATAAGATATTTTCCGAAAAACACTTTTTGACAAATTTTTTGAAAAAATGTGCTTAAAAATGTTGTTAAAATTAACTTATCTTTCAAGCAGAGCTGCTACTAGAACAGTTTAAATGCATATTTAATATTGATTTTCAGTCTAACTGTGTGAAATTCCTTGTCGAAATTATCAGAAACTGTACCACAAGTGTTGAAGTTCTTTGTTTGACTATTTTCATTTATTTTACTGTTTTGGTTAAATTGAAGAACACTAAAAGAAAGCTACCACAACAAAAGAAATTCGCAAACAAAAACTATCAATGCAATTGCCGGTAGGTATAACTTTGTTTTGAAGTTGCGTGTGCCCACACCACTGTTTTCCCATTTTATCTTAGTTCTTATTGCTTCATGAGCGCCGGAAGAGCACGATTATCAACTGACTTTGCTGGCTAATGTTTCCTTCAACGAGTTACTACATTTATATAAAATGTTCACTTTATTGAAATACGGTGGTTGCATTTATCGATTATGCCAATGAAGTGTGATCTGTTTGACCTTACATATCATTACCTAGTTTGTGTTTTAATTATTTTAATTAACATTTCGAAATCCATGCTTCATTAGATTCTAAATGATTGCCGTATATTTTTAGGTCAACGGCAATAATTGTGTTAAGGCATGTTCACATCGATTTTATATGTTTAAACATTGATCAATACTACCTACTTTAGGTCTTGAGAGTAGAATAAATATTGATGATTCTGAAATGTCTAAATAACTGGATTTACTACTATTTATAAAATGTTGAAGTAGTATTTATTTCGGCCATTGTTGTTTACTGTGACTATTTCTTAATCGCTTTTCAAATTTTCCTCATCAAATTGAGGTCTAGGTTTTGAGGGCGACAGTAAATTGAAGTGATACTTAGAATATTTGTGTTGCCAAATGGGAAATATCGAGAATCGAAATTACGTTCTGTTAATTGCTCAACTTTTTTTCTGAAATGAGGCGCTTCCGCTCTAAATACTCGAAGGAAGCAAGGACGCTTTGTGACAAAAATGATGACACAAATTACTGTTTTCTTCACTTCAAAGGAAAACTTTGAGTGTTTAGTTGTCGTGAATGTATCAAGTGATGTAAAATGTCGCGATTGTTTTTCAATTGAAAACTAGGACAAAGGCATCGTTTCTATAGGCTTAATTATTGCCTGGATGGTTTGTTTCTGATGTTGTTACATACTAATCAGTTAGCTCTCTATTAGTGAAACCTCGGTAACCCTGAATCGTACATTGACCAGGAAACCATTGCAGTTGCAGCCTTCAACTGCGTTGTCCTTGGCAAAAATAGATGCACCGTTTTCCTCTGCCCGTCTTATTCCATGCTTCCGATATAATGAGGGTTCTAGTGAAATTCTGGTCGGTTAGAATAATATGTGTACTTAGTCTCTTCTTCAATTTTTTTCTTTTGGTTGGATAAATTAATTTGAAAGGGAAAAATGACGTGCTATTTCTTTTCTGAACGGAACCTAAAATGATCAGTTTAGCAGGGTAAATCTTTTATTTGTCGAAATAGAGAAAAACAAAGCAATTTAGAACAAGTGTGTTAGGACTGGTTTTCTTTCTCCAATTAATCCAAAAAAGAAAAGAAGCACAACAATAAAACTGCCGGAATTCTGATGCGTAAAGGCAACTTCCGAAAATCAATTGCCGTTATTACAACGGAAGTAGGCTGCCGGAATGTTGACTGGAATTAAGTGAAAAAATGTGCTTTAGTTGACCGACGTCTTATTGGCAACAATGATCAAGAACCTATGAGTTCATCTATATAAGTGTAATGAAAAAATTACACTTCCATTAAACTATGTAATAAAAATGTTCACATGCACATTTCATACATTGAACATAATCTATATTTATATTCTTGTAGCTGATGAAACTGATGGCGGAAAATGAAAATTCAAGTAATCAATTAACTACGCTGGAAGTTGAGCTTATACATTTACAACAAATACATTTGGATGCTGAATTTTTGGTTTATTTCAATTGGACGTTCATCGCGTTTTAACATTCATGCCATAAAAAAGCATAATTAGAGAAGAATTTACTTTTTGTTAAACTTTTTGAACTTTTTAATGTAAACATTTTTCTCATTCTATTTATTTCATGAAGAAAACTGCACATAGTTTAAAGGAAAATACAAAGCTGTGCTTTTATTTGCTTTAAGCAATACTAACTTAAAAATTGTAAGCACTTTTTGTATGTGTTTTTGGGTATTAAACCAAATTACTTGCCTCTCAACGAGGTAGTAGGTTGAAAAATGCATTGTTAAGAATAATAACATTTACATACATTTAGGATTTCAGAAAACGACAAAAATGTTCAATTTACAATTTTTGGCGCCAAAAGCAAAACTATTCACATATCTTAGCATGGATTTTTAAAAATGGCGCGTTGCCAATAATAAATAGTTAGATCTTATGCAACAAAAGGGGGATAACACCGCGAAACAACAAACATTACATTTGCCACTTTAACGCATTTCCGCAAATTAGAATTCATTCTAAGATCACTTGCAGTTTAAATTATTGTCTCCTTCCAACTCATAAAGTAAATAATAAAATAACGAAGAAATCTCAAAAACCCATCAACAGTCAAAGCCTGAGTTCCTCTAGATCAGCATAATGAAACGCTCCATTTATATCAGCTTAGTGTATAATTAAATACAACTAGAAGGTTTTTCATTATTGTTTCTAATTTAATTGCAGATTTAGACCCCTATCAAAACTACCTACTACAAGCTCAACATCACCACGTGTCGACGCATCCACATCAGTCGATGCACCAACACCATCAGCACAACACTCACCAATCCCCATTTACCACCCCATCTCCGCCCTCACCTCCACTGAGGCACCACTCAGGAATACCCACATCGGTAATACAGGCAGCGACCAGCTCCGTTTATGATGACCCTTATTTGCTAGGATTCTCACCAAGGAAGCTGAAGAAGGTGAAGAAACAACGAGTGAGTTTAGACCGAATTATCAAAGCATTTTCTCAATATTCGTTTGGTTAATTGCCCGTTTGTTTTGTGGAAACGAATAATATATGTGATTGTTGCTTGTTACAGTTGGGAGAACCAGGTACAGCACCAAAACGGAAAAGTAGGGAAGGTTCCACAACATACCTGTGGGAATTTTTGCTCAAACTACTGCAGGATAGAGAATACTGCCCGAGGTATATCAAGTGGACGAACAGAGAGAAGGGCGTGTTCAAACTTGTGGACTCTAAAGCGGTGTCCCGGCTTTGGGGAATGCACAAGAACAAACCAGATATGAACTACGAGACAATGGGACGTGCTCTAAGGTGAGCTTAAATATTATTCAGATACTGAAAATATCCAGAAATTCAGTGAGTAGCTCAGCAATTTAAATTTCTTGGTTTAAAAGTTATGAAAATGTGTATTTACGGAAATAACAATTTGTTGCACTTAATACATGCAAAGTTTTCCATATATGACTTAACAAGCAAGTGTAATTTTTTTATTACATTTTTTTATGTTTGTTCTTCATCTGGACCACCATATCTCTTAAATTCGAAAACACAAGAACATAAAAATTCTTATTCAAAATTTGAATGCCTTGTATTTTTTTCTTTCACCCCTTCAGCTCTATTCTGATTTTTACTTATTTGACAAAACAAACCTAAAACTAGCTCATATTGGTAACTAAACTTACATGCGCATCGACATCTCATAGTGTGCATAGTGTTCTGCAAATAGAGAATTTAGTGTGGCAAATCGTATATTCATTAATGATAATAATAATAGCAATAATAATGAATAACGGACTTGAGACTTCCGCACATCTGAGCTAAAGATTTTTAGCTTCATTGAACCAGTCAAATTTAATTTCATCCTCCAGATTAATTACTTATTATATACTAAAGCAAGCATTTTTTCCACATGCTAATATTTATTTTAAGTAATATATTTATAAGTCTTATATTTATAATTTATATTTCTTATTTAGTTGTGTGTATGTAATGATTACGCATTGATTTAAAACATATACATCAAAGAGGCTTTTAAAGCGAAATTGAAACAGTTCATTCAATAATGGAAATCGGTTTCCGCTTCATTCTTCAGATTAAGGTTTTAAATGGAACTTCGGCCGGGCTTCGACTGATCGCAAAGTTCAATTCATTCAAACTATTTGCTCCCGCCGGCTTATATTTCATTAAAATTTTAGATCTCGAGTAAACGTATTAAGTCTGAATATCGCCAAAATGTGATCATTGATAAATACTATCAGTGGGTTAAATAGTTGATTTACACTCGGTTTCGAGTCTAATAATGGTTAATTTTTGTTTCAGATACTATTATCAGAGAGGCATTTTAGCCAAAGTCGACGGCCAACGTCTCGTCTACCAATTCGTAGAAGTACCAAAAGACATCGTCGAAATTGATTGCACGGGAGCAGCGTGAAACTACTGCCATTTGCACAATAAATGTAAGTGAGGAACAAATTCCTCATTCTACGATCAACCCGTCATAATAGTACAACCAGAGAAACAATGCCAATTACTGATATTACTTGTATACAAAAGAAAATCCGTTAAATTTCATAACTGTTCAGCACGCCTCAAACACGGCTTTACATTGATAAAGAAAACCAGAACTTTCAGTATAGAAAATTAAAAGTATGGTGTAACAGAAAATAGGGCCACCAAATTTTTATTTAATCCCACGCTTTCTTTTCGCCTCCCACACTTACACGAACAGCTTTCAAATTTAAATATTTTGGCAAACCACTAATTATTTTTTTATAATATTTCAAGGTTAGCGGTTTTGTTTTGTATCAACCATAAATAGAAAAAAATTCCGCAAATTTGCAAAAAGTACGTTGCAGACGATGGCGCGGTATGATTATAGTCGTGGATGCAAAGTAGCTAGTGGTTGTTTCAATGTCAGTACATGTTTGAATAAATGGGAATGCCATGTGAAAAAGTATGATTTTATTCCGGTCAGGCTAAACATGTTCAGTTCCTTAAAAAGGAAAATGTGTTGTCGACCAAAACCATACTGCACATGTTGATTCAAAGAATCATTTTCAAAGACTGCAAAGAATTGTGCTGTAGATCTCCCTATTTATGTAACAATGTTTGATAACTGATTTTGAGAAAGCGAGAATTAATTTAAAGGTTGTGGTATTTTATAAGAATTATTTTACGCGATTGGAAGCTTGACATGTATTTCTTTGCTTGCAATTAGTAACATTTAAAAACCCTTTGATGTTGCAGGCCTACAAACCTAAAAACTCATTATCAAATTTACTCAAATTAAATAAAAAAATAAAATAGTGCAATAATTTTAGACAATTTGTATGTACAATGGCTCATTGGTATTTCATTTTTAAGTTAGATCTGAATTGGTAATTATTTAAAAAATAAACTAGTAATAAATCAGGCAATTTTAGAATACAAGAAACATAGACGAATTTCTGAATTTACTTTACTAATACCCAAATGATAACTGAACAAATGTCAAATTATTAAACCTTATAACTTATAAAAAAGACCAGATTGAACGGTGCTGTTTAGAAGAATTTACATAAAAAGGATCAGACTGTGAACGGTGCCTATGGAATGAAATATAGGTTAATTCCTTTGTTTTAATTGCTCTCTTTTGTATAAGTTCGATCTCCTAAGCTAAAAATGTACATAAACATTTAACGTGTACTTATTATAGAACAGTCCAAGCTTTGGAAGTCCGTTGAAAATATTTACATATTAATAATTTTGTACCATTTATAAAAATGTGATTTTTGTATGTAACTATTATATGGTGTGCAAAAAATTATACTCTGGGATTTTCACATATATTTCCCCGTCATATAATACACGTTTGTTACTCTAACATTAATTGAATTTGTATATTCTGTATAGTATTTATTTAAATATGCTGAATAAATTTTTTGTTTCCGGCTGATTAAAATTGTTCTGTGATTTTGTAAATGTTATCTCTAAAGGATAGTTATAAACCAAACAATTAATTTTCGATAAACACCTCAAACATAAAATCAATGTACCTAAATGCCGTGTCTTTTTAGATGAATTTTACCTAATGAGACATTTTTTACACATCGAACTACAAGAAAATTGACAAAAGTTCAAATTAAATTCAGGTCAAATTTATATATCAACATACATTTTTATACATAACGTAGAAGAAATTAAAAAAATAATTATAATACTTGTTAAATGTAATAGATGTAATGATACTTAAATGGAAAGTGTGTACTATTTCCTTAAGAAATGATTATCTTGTCATTGCAATGTTTTTAGATTTCACTAAAACAAGCTTTATAACGCTCTATTGAAAATGTGATAATTATTTCTCAAGGAGTTTTGTTGTTTCCATATAATACATATTTGTCCACGAACAAACTGCCCACTTTTAAACTAATGTTGTTAAGTATATTTGAGATCATCAATACTCGTAAGCATCCCACGTTGGTGTTTAATGGAAAGTATTTTAGTGTCCCTGTTATATTAGAGATAATTCCCAAAATGTTAATTAAGGGTAAATAATATTTGAACTGTTTATATGGCGAGAAAAGAATTCATAGTTTAGACGATTTACGCATTATGAACGCTGAAAAACTATCATAAACAATCGAAAACTGGTGGTTTGGGAAGCTATTTACTTTTTAAAACAGGAATGGATGTAAAATAAACTAATTGGTGATACATGTTAAATAACTATAATTGTTTGTAAATATAGATAGAATTTTATCTTAGTTCAGAAATATTTTCAGTACGTTTAAGGTTGAAGAGATGGAAGTGTGTTTTAAATAATTGTAAATGTTTATATGTAGGTTAAGTGAGTACTTTTATTATATAGTTTATGTAATATTTTTCGTCATTTTAAAATAAATAACACTAGAAGTAACAGATGGTTTTCGTATTGTTTCTCAACAAAACCCTTTGCTCGCTCTTTCTAAATTGTCGTCAAAACTTGCCAAGCGAGCACATAAAGATCATCTCTTTTGATCGTGTAAAATTTGCGATCGGTTCATAATATTTTAATTGATTGCTTATAAGAAAGTGTGTGAAAAATTGCGAGTGGCGAAGACTTAATTTCTCTTAATAGGAGAACTGAATAGTAGTGCGGGTCGTAAGTCAGTGCAGAATTTTCTCTTTGTATATAATGTATATAATGAGTCTGGTGAATATCAATGCGACCTCCAACGGCAAATATTTTAAAACTGAATATGCTTCTGTGTTTAACGAATTTGATTCGCAACAATTAAACCATTAGTCTCGAGACTCCAGATAGCTGAAGAACTGTTAGCATCAATTCGGTATGAGGAAAACCTGACTAGAAAAACGGGTCCCACTTTCAATGAAGTAAAAGTGCGTTTGTGCAAAATTTCTCGAGCTGATGATGGATTTGGAATTTGTTCTAACTTGCAAGATTGAATAGAAGAGTTGGGAGCTTCAGCCTATAATGCAACTTATAGGAGATTCTTAATCATTAGTTCAGAGCGGAGCTTGAAACGTATTCTCAATCCCAAATGAAAATTAAGCTCTATATTAATTATACTCAGACAAAAGTCGAAATTCAACGGTGTTGATTGAGTAGAACATGCTCGACCGATGAATAAATTGTAAGTTCTGCTAAGAAAGCAGTTGATCTTAAAAAAAGTGTTATCAAGAACATAAAAATAATAAATTATAGTTTTCTAATAAAAAATAATCATACAGGGTGATTCAAAATTACTTTGACAAACTCTCAGAGGCGGCTGTTGGTTATATTTTAAATCCAGCAGTTCTCATAGCTAATAAATGAGGCATCCTAATGCCATCTGAACGAAAATACAGTACTAAAGTTTTATTAAAAACCATAAACATTTTTTTCAAAAATCCGAAACCACTTCAGACATTTTAATTAACTTATGCAAATGTCAATAGCTATCGAGTGGCCAGGGTTCTATTAAGCGAAAAACTTTTTTGGTACCCCAGTGGAGCGTGTACTGGCATGGCATTCAATATTTTTGAAGAAAAATGTTGCGCAAGAGGTTTATCAAAAATGTTTCATCAAATCAAAAGTTTTACTTATTTATTGCTTGTTTAGATCCCATTAAAAATCTTTCTTGAGTTTTCTTCGTACCGTGCATCATTTTTAAGTAAATTTTTAGATTCGTATTAACGCACGCCTCAGATTCCTCACATCAAGGCAAAACGGATCGGTAGAAGACTCGAAGAAGGATTTCGCCAATTTCTTCTACAGTGTAGGGTGAGTAACTTTTTATTCACTAAAAAAATCGTAACTAATAAATCCGAAATCTAAGAATACAAATAATTTAATCAAATGCTCGTAGAATTTGTTTGATTTTTATTTGTCAAGCTACGAAATACTCAGTTAACTTTTTCATATCTTGTGAAAACAGAATCATTAATAAACACTAAGCGGTTAATGATGCCGCGAAAGTTTGTGTTATTTTTTAGTGCTGTTCTCATGTCCACGTTTTGTTTATTTGACTCCAACTATAATTTATAATATAATTTGAGTATCGAGTATAAACCTATAAACTTGAATAATCAGATATTATTCAGATTCTAGCAGTTAGTCGCTATCTGGTTCATAAACTGTTTATTACAGCACAAGGGTTGTAGGCCTCTACACAAGGGCAGTGTCTGTAACTTTCCATCCCTTCTTTCAGATGGCGCTGCGGGGTGCAAAATATAGAAAGCTGATTGGGTTGCAAGGCAAAAGCGTAAGTAATTCGCCTGTTAAATTAATTAATTATATTTTAATTTCATTAAGTTTTCATCATTTGTTTACATTTTCATAATTAAATAAAACGCGCTGAATTTTTAAAAAGTGAAAATTTTAAGGGTGATGCTATAGGCTCAAATAATATTAATAAGTCAGGTAGCAAAAATTCGAAATCGGAATATTTTCTGAGTTACTGCTCTTCCATCTTATTTTTTTTTTAATTTTTGACCTCTTCTGGACATTTCTTCGCGGAATAAATTGAAAATCGATATAGAGTTTTAGCTGAGTGAGCTGTAACTTTCTGATAAAAAATTGCTTCTCCACGTTGCCACTAGATGGAATTTTACCTGAATTTAATTTTGTTTTACAAAAATATTTCTCCCGATATTTCAGAAAAAGATAGTTTTTTGAAGAACTTTGACTATTAAATAGCAGAGGAGCCAGACATTTTTTGTGATTAAAAGCTACGACAGATCGTCTTCTTTTGAAGCAAAGAAAATCGCAGTATCCTTTTGATCATGTGCTTACGGGACACCCTGTATATGGTGTTATATTAGAGTAAACTTTCTTTTCTGGGCTACAATTTTTTGTCGCACCTAGAATGAAAATCTAAATTTAAAAGCTGTACGCGCCTACTTAAGAACTACGCATGAAAGAGTTCATTTCGAGCAAAATCCTATCAGAAAAGAGTAATTCTTATTCATCATTAGAACACTGGTCATACAAATACGAAAATAATTCAAAAAGTGTATATCATCTGCATCGCCGGCAAACAATTTTCATATGTCAGGATGGCCGAGCGGTCTAAGGCGCCAGACTCAAGGTTTCCTTGCCTGCTTTGCGGGTTTATGAGCGTTCTGGTCCTCTTTGAGGGCGTGGGTTCGAATCCCACTTCTGACATAACTTTTTGCTTTTAAAATGGAAATTAAATGTTGAAACATCCTTGATTTTTATGAATTTCATATTTTATCACTTACGTTTTTTACTTATTTACATTGAGCAAAGTTAAAATTTAGTTATGATTTACAAATTAATTTCGTGTTGAAATAAAATTATACAGTAAAGTCCGCTTGTAATGGTCCCGGTTATAGTGAACTTTCGGTTAAATCGAACTTTTTTCCTTTAATTGGAACGTCGTCCATAAGAACCAACGTATTTTTTTACTGGTTATAACGAACCCGTTTATAACGAACTTCCGGATATAACGATCACTTTTTATGTTAGTTTGGGTATATTCACTTTCCGTTTATAACAAACTTCCACGCTCAGCAACACCAATCGTGCGGAATTGTTTATATTAGTGAGAGGGAGAGACGGGCAGTGACTTGTTTTTTGCCGCGTTATGTATGTAAATCGTTTTAGAATGGAAAAACAAAAACGCAAAGCTTTTTCACTAAATGAAAAGTACGAGATTATTAACAAAATAAAAAATGGAGTAAAGCAGAGTGACATTTGTAAGAAATTAGCACTTGGAAAGTCTACTGTTGCAACAATATGGCAAAACAGAGAAAACATTTTATCAGCGTATGACAAAACAAATGTTAGATGTAGAAAGTTAAAATTATCTGCACATGAAAAGGTTGACAAAGGACTTATTAAGTGGTTTACTCAAAAAATAGAAGAAAACGTTCCCATAAGTGGCAGTGTTTTGCAAGAAAATGCTAGTGAAATGGGGAGTAAAATCAAAAACAAATAATTTGCTTGTTCTAAAAGTTAGGAAGAGCGTTTCAAGAAGAGGCATAATATCAGTAGCGGAAAAATTGTTGGAGGACCTGTCGGTGAAAAATTCTTCTTATGAACACGTTAGAGGTGATCGATAAAAATGAAACATTTTCTATAAATCTCTTAGACGCAGTCAATTTCATTCATAGAGCTTAGCAAAAAGTTAGCCGAAAAACCATTGCAAATTGCTTTAAGCATGGGGGATTTGTAAGAAAAGAAAATGAATATGAACCAGACGATGTGATTGAGACTAAACTTTAGACTTTAACTACGAGTATGACACAGACGAAGATGTCCCAATGTTGTCGAAGAACAAGTTAAAACCAAATTGAGTGATTTCAATTTCTTTGAATATGTGAGCATTGATAATGGCATTCTTACAAGAGAAATGTTGACCTATGAGCAAATTATAGACTCCGTAACCTCATCTACAGCTTTAAGCGATAATGAGAAAGATGACGATTTAGGTGAAACTGTATTGTAGACACTAATGCTGTTCCATCCATTTCTGAACTGACAAAAAAGGTGTCAGCATCTCGGAATTTTCTACAATCACGCCAAGTTCCTAATCATGTCTGGGAGTTCTTTTGTGATCTTGAAAACTACATAAATAACATCTATTTTTGCAGCAGAAATGTACAAACAAGAAATACAGAAGTAGATTTCAAATTGAATTCTGTTTATCTTTTTGTTTTCTTTTTAGTCATACCTACTAACTTTCACTATTCTACGGAAAATTAACGAAATAAAATACACCACGTGTTTTTGTATTATTATTCGCTTATAGCGAACTCCGGATATAACGAACCAGTTTTAGTTCATTTTTCAAGTTCGTTATATCCGGACTCAACTGTATTAAGATTCAAATCAAATTCACGATTTAAAAATTCACATCCAAGTTAAGCCAATTAATCCTATACCAACTTGTTGGAATCAAACTTTTTGTGCACTGATGTTAAATATCTTCAATACTTGTTATAAGGAAAAAATTACAATGAAAACATAATCACGTGTGAAAACTGATGGTAATTTTCTTTATTTGCAGCTGTTAAGATTGTCACTATTTCTCTCAATTGTACTCACAACTGGAAAAATTCGTATTTATTGCTTATTATTTTCGGAAGCAAATTAATTTAGTGACATCATTTTAACTTATTGGACTTATGATCGAAAATGAAATGTGCTTTATCTGTATGGGTTCTATTCGATGTTTTGTTATCGAGATAAACCTCGTTAGTCTATGAGGCGTCTTACAAAATCGGAAATTTGGATGAGATAAAAATATTGCAACTGACCTTTGTGCTCTCCTTATATAAGGTAAAACAGCCTCATCCAGCCCCGATCTTCTTAATCCTATAAGGGGTTTCAATAGTCTCACAGACACAATTTAGACCGACACAGCACTAGTACGTACTAACTAATAAAACAAATGCTTTTCATCATGTTTCGGTATAATTTTAACCCTCAAAAATCGCTTGAAATAAAATCAAATGTCCTGTCCAACAATTAGGACCGCAATCGCCACGCCCGCTCTTAAACTATCACATTATGTTTTATTGCCATGCATGTATTCAACTGTTACCGAGCAGTTGTATCCGAAAACTACTACGAACAATCACACAAAATATGCGAGGTTTACTTTACCGGCGAAAGAGTAAACACACCAAAAAAGTAAAGATAAAACCGATCGTATTTAAAAATCTTCGAGCTGATTGTAACACACAAATATACAGGTCTTATTTTAAATTCGCTTTGTTATATTAATTCAATTAAATTTTGCAGAATCATAAATACAGATGTCATCATTTTAGCAACTTTGTTTTTGAAGAAATTCTGAAACCGACGAAAGAATTGAGAAATCTAACACCCTTGGTTCATAAATAGCTATAAGATGCATAATTTGACAATATCTATAAGTAAAAAGCATACAAAATGCGCAAATATGTTAAACATATTTGCGAGCATTCCAGCACAGTCAGGCAGAAGGCATGGTTTGAAGAGCAATATTGTTTGTTGTTAATTCTTAAGCCAGAAAATGGCTGGCCCATTAAAAAATGTTTCTACACTCTTATCACCAAGCCTTAGAACAACATTATCCCCATCAAGAAATTTACTATCTACTCCAAAACATCAGCGAATCACATCTTGTGCTATCACGTGAGTTTTTAATACTGCCAAACATAGATTTACCGTTGTTTTACATAGTTAAATAAAAACCACTTAAATTAATTACAATTTTATTGTATTTGAAACAATTACGTGTAATATTTTCCTCGATAGTACATAGATAGTATTTTTAGGCCAAGAAAACTAAATTTTTCACCGAACCTCCGGCTACCATATCAAGGAAAAGTCCCAGATATTAAAGTGGACCTTATATTTGATAAGTCTAAAAATAATTTTCAAAACGAAATTTCGCCAAATCCCACACACGTATTGGACCTCAATTCCCCGATCAAGCAAGATTTAGCCAAAAATGGTTTGCAACCTTTTAGAAAATGCACTAAGGTGCTGGGACAGGGTAGTTTTGGTGTTGTTTTCAAAGGCAGACATCATGGTAAGTAAATACGGTTTATGTTAAGGGATTCAGGCCACATGATGGAAAGTTTTCGAAATTTGTGAACGTAATTAAGCCGCAATAGTTATTCACTTGCCACAATTCAATGAAATTGGGAAGAGAGATGGTTGATCTAAGCTCAGAAACTAATAATCGCATTGCCTTGTAGAACCAGTTTAAGCGGTCTTCATATGATTTGAGCCTTGCCTTGCTCAACAACTTAAAAGGCATTAATTACTAATTTTCGTCAACTGTGTACGAAATTCAAGGGCACGAAATAATAATTTTGCGTAAGAGTTGTAAGAATATTGGTTTTGAAAAAATCGACAATTCTTAAAAAAAAAATGTTTTCCATAATTATAAAGTACATTAAAATATTCAACTTTGATAATTCACGTTCCGTCATTTTAAGAAGTTTATTTCCATGTTAATGCTATATACATCTCAATTTCCATTTTCAAAAGAATTTGCTCTTTGCAAGTAATATTTTCGAGAAGACCATAAAAAGTCTTAATAAACGTACCAGCTCCTTTACACATTGAAGTTTCAATACAATCAAATTTGAGAATTTTATCAGGGTCGTTCAAAAACTCTCTTCTTCTAATAATTCAATTTAATCTATTTTCAAACTAAAATATGTTTATCTTTTGTAAAAAAATTGTCACAGTTCTAAACAGTCAATGACTAATATAAGATCTTTATTAGGAAATCGAGTCAATGTAGTAGGAGCAATACTAAATTGACTTGATTATATGTAGATAAGTTCTATATTGTTGAGGCGGATTCATTTTTACAAAACCATTTTTTAAAGACAAAAATTTTTGAGGCGAAATACCCAAAAAGAAGTTTGTAAAAATTGATTATATGTATTTTCAATGAAATAGATTGTTTTTTTATCAATTTTTGGAAAGAAATAATATTTTTAAATCAATTTCTCTTGAATTAATTTTATCAGGGAACGAATTCTCATTATGAGGCCAGCAGGCAATTCAAAGTAAATTCTTAGAAATCAGACAGGACTGAGAAATTAAAAAATCTTGAACGCCTGTTGATACAAAAATATACATTAAAACACGTTCTGTTTTGTTTTTTCAAATACCTTTTTAGTTTATAATCAAGTCATATTTAGGCCTGTTATTATATGATAAAAAATGTCAAATTGGGAAAAAATTCGTATTGAACGCAGTAGCGCAGTGAATACAAGCATTGTAGCACACGGTGTTAACGAAAACTTTCGTTACGGATTTCTAAAATCAATTTGTTAATATTTAATTTGGCAGGGTTACGAATAAATCTACATTGAAAGGTTAAAATGCAGAATTGGCCAAACTACTGAAAATTTGCCAAAGTTCAAAAATTCCTACCGAAATCAATAACGATAGGAATAGAAGGAAACTGGCGCATTCTGTTAAAGAAAGTCTTGATGGATTGCTGGAATCTGTGTGCTCATATCGGGCCGTGTTATGAACTGCACTTTAAGCAAGTTAAACTGACTTAAAGTGCAACTGCAGTGCAAGTTGTGTAAATGTTGTTGTTTGACATGAAAAAAGTTTTTAGGAGAAGTCGTAGCAGTAAAATTGGTTACCAAAGAAACAATCACGCAAGAAAAAAATGCCTTAGGACTTAATCATAGAAATGTTATAAATACTATAACTGTAATAGAAAATCCAGACTGGCAAGCCTATAATCTGGTGATTATGGAATATTTAGCAAATTGCCGATCTTTGCAAGATACTTTAGATGCTATGCAGGCAGGGCCACTACAAGAAGATAGTACAAATCTTTTAAAGTTATTTGCAATAGATATAACTGCCGGTTTAGCCTATTTGCATCATCATGGAGTTATGCATTTAGATTTGAAACCAAAAAATATACTAGTGAGTAGAGAAAATGTTTGCAAAATATGCGACTTTGGAAACTCATTGAAAATTGGCGACAGCTCTGGCCAATTTAATTACACTGTAAGTATAGTAGTAATTATTACGCCATAGTAATTTTTGCACAAAGAGTAAGAGAAAGTTTCTGATTAAATTGCTTTTAGGGGACAGTAATATATACTGCACCAGAAGTTCTAATGGGAAAATCACCAACCACAAAAAGTGATATTTATTCACTCGGTTTAATATTTTGGCAATTAAAGTATTTAAAAAGCCCATTTCAAGAGTATGAAAGAAATGAAAGTATTATTTATAATGTAAGTAAAAACATACAAAGCTAAGAACGTCTTCGCTAATAATTAGCCGTCAATACACATGTTAAATTCACAGTTTACCTCTTTATTTCAATTTATCATCAAATGTACCAAATTAAAATAACTTTCAAGATAATATTTTAATTGAAGTCGTCGGCAAGTAATATCAAATTTTTACCACAGCGGTAAAGTGCACAACTATTGAATTACAGCTAGTAGACAAATCATACTTTTATCGAATTAATCTTAAAGAATTATATTGAAATTTAATTAAAACTGAAAAAAAAAACAGCAGGAAAACACATAAGGAGATACCATTTGGTCTTAAGCTGAACCAAAAATTTTTTATAATGCATGACAGAAAGTGAACGTTCTGTTTTGTTCTCCCTTCTTTTTAGTTGAGATACTTGATTCGCTTTTACTAACTGAGCACTTGATAAACATATAAATCACATTTATAGCTAAGTTATTAAGCTTTGCTATATTGTTGAGAGTTTCCCCGTATATTTTAGTAGCGCACTGCAGGAGTTATTTGAAAATATTATCAAAACTTGTACATATGAAAGTAGTCTATTGTTTCGAAAAATTGTTTGTTTAGAAAAAGTTTTCGATTGTTTATATGTTGTTTTAGGTGGGTAAGAATAATTTGAGACCGAAATACCAAGAGAATGGTACCAATTGTATAGTGGATATTTTCACCAAGTGTTGGGATACGAATCCCGATCAAAGGCCCGATGCTTTACAAGTACTGAAAATGTTGGAGAAATTTACGTTTTAATATTCATTCTACTTTATTTGTTATTTATTCGTGTTTTTGATTTGATAACAAAGTGTTCCCAAATTTTCGGTCCAGTCAAACACTTGTTACATAAAGTACATCGTACCAAATTTTAAAATATGATTCAATAAAATGTTAAGGTTTGTTTTTAATATATCATGATATAGGTGAAACTGTCTTTCCTATTTAGATTTAAAACAAGTCTTTTGATAATTTACATGTCTTAAATAATTAATTAATTTCTTTATTGCATTTGCAACAACTTTTTATGCCACGTCTATAGGATTTTTAAGAGTTTTAGAATTTCTGAAAAATGTTGATAACTGACGGTTTGAGAGTTTTACGCTTGACAATTTTCAGAGCCCAAAATACAATGTTTTTGATAGACAGCGAATGTGTCGAGCATATACTTTGCAAACAATTTGATGTTCTATTTTGAAAATGAATTAATCTAGGTAAAAATTCAAAGTTAGTTGTTGTCTATTCAACCTTCAAATCATCATAACTTCCAAGTTTTCCAACCGATTCCAATTTTTCCAGCTGCAGTTTTTATAGATAATCGAATGTTTTTCAATAACTTCCAATATTTCCAAATCGGCCCGATGTTAACAGAGTTATGCAGAAAATTTCTACATGCAAGAAACCTATTTCTCAAAAAAAATGCGACCTTAAATCCACAAAGGAAACATAGATAACATTTGCTTTGAAAAATCATCTTTTCGACATGCAATGAGCAATCTCCTATGACTTTCACGTTTCTCAACCGACGTATTTTACAAAATACGATTTTTAGATAAAATCACTAGCTTTAGAACGAATTTTCAATGATCCAAATCGTCACCGTATTTAGAGAGTTACTTATTTATTCTTTTTGCAGGATAAGTACTGATGCACTATAGAATTATAATGACAGCATTATACTCATAACATGCGTGTCATTCGCCTTGCCATCATACAAAGTATTGATTTTCTCAAATTGTCTATGAAATAAGAAAAATTATCATTAGTAGATATAAACCCAGCACAAATGGGGGGATGACCACCTTGATCGCCCCTTAATATTACCTGATTTGCTTTGCTGAACTTTGTTGTGTTTGTTTTAGTATAATTTTTGTACATTTCTAAAGAAATAATAAGGCACTAAATTTAGCAGTCCATTCTGCATAAGAGTAGGTGGAACTAAATGAAAAAATAATGTGTAATATAAAATACATGGTTTGATGTTTACGAGTCAATAACAGGAAGCATATAAACTTAAAACATTTATTTGGACCAGAATCGAAACAAGAATATTTTTATGGTTTGGTGGTTCTTTTTAAGCCCTCCTAAATCAAGGGTATATTTTTTCTTTCCTCATCCATTTGCGCATCGTTGTTGCTATGGTATTTCCTAAAAGTTATAATTTGTTAACAATTTTCACAAAATAAATACACTTTACAATGACTAAGCCTGCAGATAGCAATTACCTAATCTCTAAATCTTCAATCGTGTCAGGTAGTTTTTTTCCTTGGGTCTCAGGTAGGAACAGCACCAAAACTGCTTGAATAATGGCTACAATTCCCATAACTAGTAAGGGTAGAAAATGTGCAACATTTTGCAAAGAAACCAGCAATGGAGCAATAATAGATCCCAGTCGAGAGAACATCATTGCAAGACCAACTCCAGAATTTCTGAGAACTGTTGGAAAAAGTTCTCCTGTAAATAGATACATTGCTGGAATTGAAACCTGAAAGCCCTTAAATGTACTTTAACTCAATGGCAGTTTGCTTGGACTTACTGATATTCCAATAATTCCAGTGCCTGCTAGTACTATTCGTGGCCAGTCAAATGAAAATGCTCCTTTAGGGAACGCAAGTATCAAAAATGAGCACGATGCAGTTAGTAGGAAGGCGTAAATAATTGTCAATTTCCTTCCATAATTACTTACGAGGAAAACACTCAGAACCGTTCCTAAAAGTAGCGAGTTATTTATTTCTTTCTGCTAAGCCAATGCCCAATTTTTTTATCGCAGAAGATTTACTTCCATCACTTGCATATTATTGCACATCTGCACACTTAGATCCCAAGAAAATTGAAATAAAAGAAAGACCTCTAACCTTGAACTTTGAAGAATAACGCAGAATTTTACGAAAAATATATTTTTTGTTTATTAACTCCTAAGGCCCCGAACAATCTATTCTACATAATTCAATTCTATTCGGTTATTTCTGTCATAAGAAATAACAGTTACACATTATTCGGATACTTCTTTGGAGGGAATGAAACCACGATTTCACATTTATTAACTTCTATAATGAAGATTTTTGTGTACATTTTGAACAGCTCTAATTTCTTGCTGATATATATTTTTATATTATCCCAAAAAACGGGTCTGCTAAGTATCCACACTTTCAAATTACCCGAAAAATTGGGATGTTGATTGAGTTCTTTAATATATCGAATTCATTTAGTTATTATAATTAGAATCAATATATGTATTTCAAACAGTATCTTTTGTGTTGCTTACCTGGCAGAGAAGTTAAAGCTCCAACAGCCACAGTGAAAAACAAATTATCACTTATATAACCTATATACTGAATAAAGCCGAAAAATTGCATACCCGCGATGAACCTACAAAAGCATACCTTCCGAGTCGAAAATTTAACGAAAATTAAAAAACGTACCAATTTATAATTATTAGACAGCTCCTTTTCCTTAACTCCCTCGTTGAGAAGAGGTCTTTGAACTTAATAGTTTTTCGATTATCTCGGCTAGTTAGTCTGTTAACCGATTTTGAAAAAGTCTCGTCCATGTTAATCAACTTAATGTTGTTTTCCTTCGCTGCTTTTATCAAAATTTTTTGGGCGTCTTTAGTTCTGCCGATAGCTAGAAGCCAGCGTGGGGATTCTGGAACGAGCCTAAAATTAATTTAAAAAATCATCTTACATTACATTGAGCGAAATATTACCAGTAAAGCCCCACATATAACATTGACAATAGACTGATAGCAAAATGGAAATTTCTCCAATCTCTCAATAGGTATGCTATTCCCGAAAGCAACGCATATCCAAATCCAAACGGTACTTGATATAAAATGGACACAATTGTTCTCCATTTACCGCCCACAACTTCCATACACATTACAAAGGATATCACCATTGTGCCTCCATTGGCCAAAGCAAGACAAAATCTGAAATAATTATCTTCATATATTTAACCCAGAACTTTCTATCGTGCTTTTTTTTATTATGTTTTAATGAGCTTTTTGAATAAGTCTTCTGGTCTTTTTGTTAAACCATAACAAGGCTGTATGTTTTTGTAAATTTCAACTTTGAATTTTCCTATACAGAGTGGCAATTTTCTGAATTTTTGTATGGGTAACTTCTACATTTTTAAAGATAGAGAATCCGTTAAATGGGCAAAATTGGGCAGAATTCGATTGCCTTTACCGTTTCAAAATTTAGGTTCCCGACTTGGTTCCTGAAATATCCTGAAAGGCAAGAAATCAACACTTTTAATTATTATATAATTCGTAAACTGCTTAAATTAGAAAAAAAGTTAAACTTGTCTTTGGTAGAACTTTTTGCGTTGAACTCAACAAACTAGAACTCCTTGTCATAGTCAACTTGATTTACGAGATAAAAAATAAACTTACCTTTTCTTAAATGGTACTCATAGTTGGCAGTAGACCTTTTAAAATCCTTATTTTTTCTGAATTTAACGATATAACTGTTTGTATGTTTTTCTCCTTTCGTTGGCGTAAAACTTCAAAAGAAGATGAAAAATGTGTAGTAGGCAATGGAAACAAGAACTATATTATCACACAAAGCACAAAACGAAAATGAAATAATTAACAGACACAATCATGTTTACTGGGCTAATGAAAATCATCTAATTGAAAATAAGCGAGATCAACGTGTTTTTTTGTGAATGTCTGGTGAGGCATTTTTAGTGATAAAATTATTAGTCCATTCTTTTATAATCACAATTTAAATATGGAAAGATATTTACACTTTTTACCTAATGGACTTGAAGACATGTTGAATAGTTTTCCGTGAGCATTGTATCGAAAATGGGCATATTTTCAACATGATAGTGCACCTTCACACAACTCACGAGTTGAATGTGAAGATGCCAAAAAATGCCTGAACGTAAACGGAAGTCAATTTGAACATTTAGTTTAAACGATTCATTATTGTTTTGTGCTTTGTGCGATAATATAGTTCTTGTTTCCATAGCCTACTACACATTTTTTATCTTATTTTGAAGTTTTAAGGCAACAAAAGGAGAAAAACATACAAACAATTATATCGTTAAATTCAGAAAAAAGTAAGGATTTTAAAAGGCCCACAGCCAACTATAATTACCATTTAAAAAACCATAAGTTTATTTTTTATCTCGTAAATCAAGTTTCCTATGATAACGAGTGCTAGTTGATTGGATTCAACGCAAAAAGTTGTACCAAGGCCAGTTTTAACTTTTTTTCTAAGTTTAGCAGTTTACGTAAAAAGTGATAATTACAAAATTGTTGATTTCTTGTCTTTCCAGGATATTTCAGGAATCAAGTCGGGTACCTAAATTTTGAAAACGGTAATGAATAGGCCATCGAATTCTGCTCAATTTTGCCCATTTAACGATTGGATGGATGGTCTATCTCTAAAAATGTAGAAGTTACCCATACAAAGATTCAGAAAATGGCCACCCTGAATATGGAATATTTCATTTGCATTTAAATAAATAAAAATTCAAATATTTTCTATTCATTATTAATATTGAAGTTATAAGAGAAAATAGAGGTATGCTAGCAAAAGTAGAAAGAAGAAGGCTATCTCAACTACATATTATGTAAATAAATTAAATATTTTTATTCATTGACTTAATGAATCTCTGATTAATTTTTATTATTATCGATAATTAATAATTGATTGAATCCAATTCTCAATTACAGATTTTAAATTTTGCTCACTTCTTTACTGTAGAAATTATAGACTTTTAATCGCTTAGCAATTACAACATGAAACGTTATATCTTAGTATTCAGTTACTATTTATTATTTATGCTACCGATAAAACTTTAATATACCTTATAAAGACGAATAGCGGAAAATACGGGGTTATTGATGCGAATATCCCAAGAACCGACTGCAGAAGAAGACAAACCATAAGTATATTCTTGCGACCATGTTTGTCAGCCAAAATTCCACAAAATATGTTACCTGAAATAAAATAATTTATTGCGTTATGTAATCGTTATTTGGTGTTTGGAAAAAGATTTTGCTGCCTACAATGCAATAAAAAATATGATGATATTTTGATCATATTTTCGACATACAACTTATTCCTTAAACTTCGACATCTCGTTACAATTTAGACAAGAAATTTGGGAAGCTTATCAGAAGGAAAAAACCTAGATTTTGCGGCATGTAAATGTGGCTCTATTTGTATAATTTTTTAAATATTTATAGGTGAGTTAGATATTAAATAAATACTAAATAAAAATAACATAGTACACGTCCAAAACCATCTTTTTACCACTTACGCATTGTTAATTTTCGATTTGTGTAGCGGATATTATTTGTTACCTAGCAAAACTCCTATCATTAAAGTAACTTGAGACATATCCATTAACTTCTGCCGGCTACACACTAAATCCCATTCCGAAGTGATCGTCGACACAAATACGGATCTATTGTAGCTGAAAGAGCTGCATTCGATTAGTTCCTGGGTGTTATTATTGTAATCTGCTGTTAAATTTTTCATGAAGCAATATCCCCGATTAATTCCGGTCTAAAAGCAAAGTTTCCATATTCATGTGAAATTATGTTTCTTCTTTTCTTACTTGCATGATATATTTAGCAGCTGGTTTAATTAAACTTTGCCATTCCTCATCCGTGCGATTTTCATAAATGTCTGGTTTTTTACACCAAAAATTAGTAGGTGGTGCCAAAAAAACAATACTCATTTGGAACCAAGCGATCGGAAATTTGATCAGCGACATTAAAATCGATATTTTTAACTGCCATTTTCCAAAATCGCCAATTGTCTCTTGAATTCTATCATTGTCAGTGTTTGCTGGTAAACTTGCTTCTGAAATTCAGAAGCAATGTATATAATTCCCTTGTATTACACATTAGTACCAAATATAATCGTCGATTTTTTTCGTGAAATAAGCCCACTTGGACTATACTAAAGTAATTTTTTTATACCTATAGTATTTTCAATTATTTTTTTTATTTAGAATTCTGTCTGTAGTGTGTAGCACCTTGTGTCTATTCTATCTAGCCAAATAACAATAGTGTAAAAAACCCCGGTTGTAACTGGGAAAATAACAATGACAATTAATCGATAATGGATTAGATTATTGCAACATTTCGGTTCAATAAAATTTCTATTTCATGTTAAAACCATCGTAGATTAGAGCTTAAAAATTAATAATAAAAAAGTATAAGTCCTCGTTTGACATACATTTTGCGTTGTTTGCTAGCAGTCCTTACTTCGAATGAATATAGGTACTAATAAAATACATTCCTAACTGAACAAATTTGTTTTCCGGTTACGGCTAGCTTATAGGCATTTGAATAATTTATTTTCAGTTTGTGGTTAATAATTTCAAAAAATAATCGAGATAAATACCATTTGATTCGATTTACAGATGTTTATAGTATAACGTGTTAACAAATTTTTATATAAATTATAAAAAAAATAAATATTCTGGTTTACCTTGGTCTTTGTCACGGTCACTTTCACAATTCGCGGACATATTCAAGAAAGAACTGCAAGAGAAATGCATTAACCGCTAGACTGGTACCTACATGCAAATAAAACTGTAAGACAATAATTGTTCCCGCCAATAAGTGAAAGCTGTAAGCTGTGGGCGGCAAAAAGTGTTTTAATCGCGACTAAACTAGATGCAAAATGCAAGAATAAAGCATGTAGAACCTCCGCATCTAAATAAATTTCTAGTTGTATTTAATTTTAATATTGGTAAAAACTGGCCGCATTTGGTCAGTGATGGTCAATTTAAGTGGGTGATTTTGAAAACTGGCTTCACACCGCAACACGTTGGCCTTCCAGTTACGGGCTCGCATACGGCATTCCACATTCAGCATTCAAACGTGGATTTTGTAGACAAATTTGCCTTTGCTGCATCCAAGAAAGCATTCATGGCCTCTAAAATAATTCCGAGATGGTTTGAAAATGTTTTTCTATCAAATATCCCAGAGAGGCGCCCCGTGCTCTTAATTGCAAATGAACACATTTCCCATATATCTTGCCAGCTTATTGAAGAAGCAATGAATAGTGATGACATTATTGTTAAATTTCCACTCAACTCAACGCATGTATTACAACCATTGGACGTTGGACTATTTAGAGGCGGAATTCCTAAAAGCCTTTCGTTCACATCGTTGAAGAAGAGTTTGCAAAAATGCCTGAAATAAATATCCAAAATGGCTTTAAAGCCACACATTTTAAAGGATGTTGTTTCTCCATGGATTTAAGAAAATATGAGAAGAAAAACCATCAAACTAACCAATATTAATTAACCAATTTAATAATTGCTTGGCACCTCCTCAGGTGGTAATAAACAACAGAAAACATTTGTTTTCAATTTTTTTCGATTCCTTTTTAATTAAATTTAATCGTTATCATCAGCGTATATATTATCAATATCCCAGTAAACATGTCTATTAAAATAACTGCGTATAATTAGAGAGAGCCAATTGACAAGAAAGCTCCTACTCTACCATTGTTAGCCATTCACATCTGTCCCTTTCAATAAAGCTTAACGCGTGTGTCAATTATAGCAAAATCAATGGTTAATTGGCCAGAAACTTCTCTTGCAAACAAGCACGCCCCGCCACCCCATTCAGTTGAAATGAATAGTAGTTATTCTTGTTAAAATATAGTCTGATTGCCCATACAACCCCATAGGGAGATAGAAATTGACTATTTGCCGACTCAGAAACAAACAATTCACATAATTGCAAATCTATTAGAGATTTAATGGTTTACTCGTAACAGAAACAAAGTTTACAAAACACAACAATTAAAAAAATAAATATTAAAATCTACACTATTTCTAAAAATGTACATTTTATAAATTCGAAAGCAAAATATGTCAATACAATTTATATAAAAGCTAAGGATACTTCTTCTTTCCTTAATTGGATTCTTTCCTAAATAATAATGCATAAATACAGTCTAATTGAATGGCATTAATCTGTAACTGTAAACATGATATAATTATGATTGTGTGTATGAGTTGAGTTAGGTTGCATAACATATACATCACTAACAAAATTGAGGAGTGAAAAAGTCTGTCTTTCATTGTGGGCACTTCAAATACCGCACACAAATCCCTAAAAAAGTAATCTGAAATATGCACAGGTTCAAATCTCACATGGTAATATGTATGCTATTATTAACAGTTTTTGCACAAAGTCCATTTTCTACGTACACACCAAAAAGAGGACAGGTGTAACCAAATTAAACTGAAGTTTGCAAGTTTAACTGCTTCAGTTCTAAGATACGTAGTGTTCAGAATGGAACATGCAATTTTGGGGCGCTAATAGCTGAGTACTGCTGTATCCAAAATATAGCAGAAGCTTTAAACTTTACGAAAGTCCAGCACTACAATCAGCTTAACACATACCAATCTTACGATCATCAAAACACTACAACTTATGTATTGTAAATAATCATCGCTWAATGTGAATGTTTAGACATGACTGAAATTACAAGACACTTTCTCAGYTGTTASCAAACACGTAAAATTAATCTTGCAGTWATCCATTCAGGCMGTGTAGACTGCTTTAAAGGCTAGAATTGCCTGTTATTTGGGACGAGTCSATACAAGCTGATGAATTGAGGAGTAAATCAGTTTTCTGTATTATTGCTTCAATRATAGCTTCCTAGCTGTTCATTGATAACACGATRACTAKWTACAGGATGTCGCAATTATAAGCTTTGAYTTTTSTTATTTGGAGCTACGCTYTAAAATATTTGAAATTGAAAGAGTACGTAAATTTTGATTTCAAAGTGGACAAATTTAGCTCTAAATGCAGATGCATGGGAACAACGTCCTTCTTAGAAGAGCATTCAKGATTAGATTCTTTAATTGCCTTAKMCCTAGGTCTAATGAGATGTTGTTTTAACAGTTTAAAATTCTGTTGAGGTAAGTTCTTCAAAGYTAGCTTTTTAAGAATGTTTAAAGTTGAAKARGCTTAAGTGTAAAACATTCACCTCATATAAACAACMACAAGATCTTTCTCATCGTCATTTACAGCACGAATTCTAAATTATTGTTTGGTATATTTTTGTTYGGTTTAGAATTATAGGAAATTATCTTTAGGTCTACGCGACTTTGGGCAAAATTTTACTAGTGAGTTTGGAGGCGCAATACCGTGSSCCGCCAGAAGCCTTGATTTTAAGCCGGTKGACTTTTTTTAACACATATTTTATGAACATCCCATAAGTAAATATTTTACTGATTTTAAAAAGTAGTTTAAAGCAGTTCCGAASGTSYCTAAACAAATACTRTTTTTRCAAATTTGAGCAAAACATTTCGTTTATWTARAGATAAATTTGAGTYCARTGAGAAATCACATTTAAGTGCAMATTTTTTGATTAGGAAATATCAGGAATTGTTTGTCATCGTCAAKAAAAGAACGATATTKAARAAATTAAAAAAYTCTCCTGCTTTAAATGMCTCCAAACTATTGCAGCTGGCACCTTATAAAAACTACAAGCTAAGTAATAAAAWTGTTATTTCCTTGATCTGAAGCTACCTAAACACAATTTTTTAGCTTTCAGCAAAAGTTTTTGAAAGTTTACGTCGTGGCACTTTAATTTSAATTAAAAAAAYAAGTCACAATACGACTTATGTTCATTCAAAAGATTAGATCRGATAATTGTCKTTGAWATTCGTYATAATAKRRGCAAAAAAATGTTTCTACAAATTCTACTATTTTTCAGCGTGTTGCAAAATAAGTCATCTTTAACATTTTCTGTGGCGCAACCTGTGTATGTTCTTGTAAAATATTAACTACGGTTTTATTAGTTGGATCATTTGACAGGCGAAACACTATTTGAACATTGAAAGATAATCAGTGCTATTTTGCATTCAAACCTAAGTTGATTTTTAGATTATTCAGTTGATAGAATGTACAAAAAATTGTTCTTTTGGAAAGTTTTGCATCCATATCGTAAATGGTCACTCCAAAATAAATACATATTGCATGTTAATAGCTCGAACAATGCAATTATTTTACTGGATTGAACTAGTGGTATTCAATGCAGAATGCATGTGTTTTAACTAATTGGTCGACAGAAGAACAGCATCAAATCAATCATAGCATTGCAACAATTGTTCATTTGAAAATACAAAGTGCATTCACAGTTTCATTTGATTAACGTACTGATGTGTAACAACCATGAACTCAACAATTGGAATGAATTCATTCTATAAAACAAATAATTACAACTGGCATCCATGAACGTAAGTTACGTTATGAAAAATAGCTGCTGCTGCGGTACTTAAGAAAGTGCAGGGACTTTGAGCACCGTAGCGAACCGGTAAATTTGAAGGACAGCACATTTGCTGATCTGAAGATTTCCGTAAGTTTGATACGTTCATCATTTCTTTCTCGACTGAGGCTTGATGCCGCAACTGTTCAAGACGCAGTTGATTTTGTCTCTTCCATTTGGTTCTGAAAACGGATTTATGTGTAGGCAACGTGACTATTTGATTTACAACTTTTTTGAAAACGTTATCGAATGTTTTTGGCATTTACTAACGTTTGTTTGTTCACACTGGGATGTGACACTCACCGTCTGTTTTGATACCAAGTTTTAACCTGGGTTTCGCTGAGATTTAGGGCATCAGCCACGTCACTTCTATCTGCTACCGATAAGTATTTTTGGCACCTAAACAAACATTCGTTATATTATTATAATACTTACTATACTACCTACTTAATAGGAATTTCATAATTCATTTATTTAAGAACAGTATCAATTATTAACGTAAAATTAAATATAGATAAAGGTTTCAGAAGAAATAATTCGGAATGCCTGATTGATCTTCTTCATGCTTTTTAGCATGAAGGTAAGTTATTACATCCTCTAAACAGAACGCATCAGTTAGTGAAAATATGATTAGTTTGTCAAGTTCCTAATCAATTTTTATGTAGACATACAGAATATGCAGTTATTTACTGTATATTCCCTTAAAAAGCTTGCAAGTGGATCTCTTTAGGTTTCTAGAAATTTCCACATGGCCTATTTCAGAATATAAAAATTTGTGAAACGGTCTTTCAGTTACATTTTCAGCTAAAGCAGGCCAATATTCAACATTTGACGTGTATCTAATATTTTCTGCTCTAGAATTTGAGGATACGAACAAAATAGTGTTACATATTCTTCGGCCTCGTTGCATTTTAAGCATTTTGCGTGGTTTTCAATTGCACAATATTGTTGAAAATTGTAATCTTATGTTTGATTACCTTAAGATGAGCGGCTCTCAAATCAATTTGGATTTTTGGAGACAGAAACGTTTTTTACTATAAAATTGCAAAATTAATGGATTTACTGAAATCTATTAGCAACTTCATCAAATACATTTGATTTGTTTTTGCGTTCATTGCCTGATGTAATTTAAATTAATATAGCTTTGGTACATTTGAGCATCTAAATAAATTATTCATAATATATTTTACTCTTCATTTAAATCAAGCTACTTTATAATACTCTTCACAACCCCAAATTTTATAAATATCCTACACAGGAAGATTTATTATTTATTTATATATCATGTTTGCTATCATATCATTTCTACGCAACTTATAAAAATGCATTATTTCTAAGCTCTGATTTTTCAATAATTATATTTTCCTATCCATTTTCAAAAGTTTAATTTTTTGTAATCGGTTATAAAATGAAATATTTTCTGGAATGAGCGTTTATACGATCATAACCGAAACATATGAAAATATTCCTGCGGATATGAATTTTATTAATTTTTCAAATATTAGAATAGCCACTATTTTAAATTTTATGTTCAAATGTGTCAAATTATTTTTTTCAAAGTATTTTTACTATATAACTGTACTAAAAATATGTAGCCTGATGAAAAAGTGTTTCGGGGAACGTTTGTTATTTAAATCTTGCAAAAAAGCCTTGCCGCCCCTTGAAGTAGACTTTCTTCCAAATAGTTACCTGAATATGAAATGGCAAATATTTTTCGCGGGAATCCGATTAACAAGTATTTACAATCACTTCAATAAAAATAAGTATGCGTTTAATTCAATTGATTTTAGCTAACAGAAATGCTGCTCTAATTTTTTTCTCGAATCGCACGGCGACGCATGGAAATGGATATAGAGTAAATTGAAATTGTTAGCACTGTTGGCCGCAACAAACTATAAGCAAAGTTAATCAAAATTGGCAATAATTTTCAGCCTGAATGTATTACATAAAACACCCGCTGCTTTATTCAAAAATCAACAAAAGTAGCAAATAACTTAAATTAAATAACCAAACGAAATCAACGGTCACCCAGTATAGAATTAAGTAGTAATCAGCGACAAATATGGTTGACACAAATTATTTTTCTTCCGAAATAGTTTTACTTTATAGCTGTACTAAAAATATGTAGCTTACAGCTTGTACAAATTCAAAGTGCTTACCGAAATTTTCTTTCCAAAAATGCTAACTGTGCATGAGTAAATGCTGTTCTTCTTCGACGAGGTTTTCGAGATTTTACCAGATCACAAGAATCATTCGGATCCTGCAATCGAATGTAATTCGAATCGTCGGGTAAAATATCATGATTGATAGTGGTATGCTGCTCGTCAATGGAAGAAGGTTCTGAGTCCAGATCAAAATCTGTAATTAATTGGAGAATAAATTACTAGAGAACTTTTGAAATAACTCAAACAAAGCATTCCAAATAATGTAAAGCGCAAAGTTTTTTTTTCATTGCTGTATAAAATTATTTTTCGTTAGCCTACATGGTTTCTTGTAATGAATACATAATGCACTGTGCCTGGGGTGTTAATTAACGCGAAGAAAACTGAAAACCGACTGTTTTAAACCTCCAGTAAAATACACGTCCTCCAATTAAATTGAAGTGGTCTCTTGCCATTTTACGTAAGTATATTATATTCTTTGGGTAATTCGCTTTGTCTTACATTATCATCTTCATTCATTGTGCAGTGAGATATTTCGGTATGTTCAAAATGAGTAGCTATAATATACATGGATCGAGCTGTAGAAAACTGAAAGTGAAGAAATTTACTCTTAGCTTACAATTATTAAATAAAATAAAATTATAATCACCAATTTCAACAGGTTTAATTTTATTTAAATAGCTGAAATGAAAATGCAAAAATTTTGTTCATTTTTAAGATTAAACACAATAATTAAAAAGGTATTTTTTTTCAGTAAAACGGTAACGCTTGGGGTGTTTCAAAAAATTACGGAAAAATCCTTGCTCAATTTTTTTCCCATCATTTGTCAGGGAAAATCAAGAAACCAAAAATTTTTTTTTTTTCAGTTAGTATTTTAATTGAACCAAGGAATTAGTATATGAATTAAAATAATATTTATAGAAGTCGGTTGATTGAAAAAGTTTTATATAATTTGTCTGTTTCGGGAAATGCTTGTACCTACTGCTATATATCAATTCAATTTATAACATTTGCTATAGAAGAAAAAGTAGTTTGCTGAAATAGGTACCTACCTACTAATAATTTGAATATAAAATTTGATGATAATAAAATTTGATGGCACAATAATCATGAAATTAATTCCGCCTGCATTTTTTGCCTCGGTACAATAAATCCAAATCGTCTGATAAATATGTTTTGTGGTAATTTTTTAATAATATTAAAATGTTGAACGATTACCGTAACGCAGAGAAGTAAAATGAAAGTCAACATATAGGTACTTTTACTTTATTCCATATTTTCTTTAAAAAACACTAGATTTTAATCATTAAAAATGTTAGTTGTTAATGTGCAATAGTGCATGTAGGTAGATACATATTTTGCAAATCTTTTCCAGAAGTAATTTCTGAGTAACTAGTGTATTTTGCTTCCAGCCTTACCTTGTGCAGAATTTGTTAAGACATCACCCAGCAAATCTTTAATCATGAAAGATTTATGACTCTCCTGCATTCTACCTATTTGTCTTCAATGTCACTGCATAATCAACAAAGAATACAATCTTGTCACTTAACCCTCAGATTAGAAGAAAATTAAAGAAACTGGATTATCATTAGCCGACACTTTATAACAAATCAACAACTAAACAGACACTAACAGGCTGAAACGTTCGCATAAACTCCAAAAGTTAGAAATAAGCGATCTAAACCGCAGACTTTTACCCCCGTTTAAACATTCTACCCTTAGTAAAAAGCCTGACGCCGCCCTCCAAGTCTAGAAGTACCGCCCCTTCCCGAGTTACCGCCAATCAGACTTTCAAAGGCCCTCGTTGGAAAGCTATAGGGGTAGTTTTGGACTAAGAGAAATGTTTTGGATTTTGCCGATAATCCAAGATCCAACTTAAACAGAGCAACCAAATATAATAAAAATTGATGTTATATCATTTGAGTGACCATCAATTTGTATACTAAAGGTGTATCTAAAGATTCATAGATTTTTACAAATTTGGTTAAAAGCTATTTTTAGGAAATCTATTAGTGATTAATGTGTTTAAAAATGTGTAATAAATAGTCTTGCAAAATTTAGTTTCGCATTTGCTATTCGGTTTTCGTTGCTTAGTAATCTCGTATTTTATTCAAATCGCTATTTTTAGTAATATTCGAACCGATTTTCTTATTAACAGTTAATTAAGTTGAAACTTTGGAATAGCGCATATGAAGAAACCCATTCGTAATTATTTCGCCTCGAATAAGTTATACAGTTTTATTTTTTGTGTTTATTACTCCTACGTTGGCAAATTCGTTTGAGTAAAAGCTCAAAACATTAACTGTTTTAGTCTGTTGTGGAAACCTGCAGTTTTCCATTTTTCTTCATATGAAAACGATTTAGCTAATGCTATTTAGTCAAGTACAAACGTATGATCTAGCTGTAAGCAATAATAAACAATTAAATTTTATAAGGATGTTCAATAGCTTTCACATAACTATTTAGATGAATACGGAATACTTTGTTGGACCAATTATAGTTTTAAGCGAGTTTGAACTAAAAGAACGACAAAACTTTTTTCGTTTTACAACTAAGGGAATTTTAATAGTTTTAAAAGCTAAACGTCCGTTTGCAGGTTACGTCAAAAAGTCAGGACAAAGCAAATCGAGAAAAAATTATGTGAACAGCAGATATCACAACAAAATATTAGTAAAATCACTGTACCGACTCCTAGTGCAATAATATAATTTTTTATTTAAAAATTTCCTTGCTTATGCCTAATTTTTCGACAATCGAGGTAAAAAATGTTAAAATTCGTTTCTTTAATACATCCTCCCTTATTTAGAAAGAGAGTCCAGAAGGGTGGAATATATTTACAGTACTTATGTGACTGGAAAATAGTCTTCTTAAATAGCTCATACAGAGGGATTTAATACTCTTTGCTTAAAACTGGTAAATTTGCAAAACTCTACAGTGTTTCCATTTGCACTTGCAACCGACGTTTTTGGTCATAACACTGTGTTGCCTTATGCCCAAATTATCTGTTGCCTTATGCCCAAATCAGCAAAAGTAGGAAAATAACTTAAAGAGATATGAGATAAAATATCAGTAGAGATTTGCATGGCTGTGTAAATGTTTGTTTTTGGGTTTTATTGCTTTACATTTTTTGTTTCCATGTCAATGTATTCTTTAATTTTACTGTATTAAATCGACACTCTCGTTATATTGAAGAATCGGATGTAATGAAACCATCAATTTTTAAAAAAAGTTCACACAAAGTCATGTGCTATTTAGTGATGATAGCAGTTTAACAAAACTAAAGGTTCAAACTACGAGCTGATTTCTCAGGTATTTGTAAAAGCAAAAACCCATATGGAGATGAGTCTGCAAGACCTATCTTATTAATTTCTGTATTTGCAAGCAGCTTTTGATATAATATCGACATTTAAACGAAGCTTTTAAGCTTGGTATTTTGGTAACACTAAAAACTGAAATTTAATCTTGTCTTGCTCTAACATGTGGATGGTGTTTCCTACATATGAGTCTGCATTTTAGTTGCCTTTTAATTAAATGTTTTTGGTTTTTATGTCTAAAGCTGTTTTATGTAACTATGCGCCAATGACCGCAATTCGAAGTAAAACTACAGGTAGAAATATCATTAAGCCACAATTTTTAGGGTTTAGCTAATAAAAGTTTACAATTCCATTTTATTGGCAATATTTATGTTTAAATTTAACATCAGTTGAATCAATTGCATTGATCCTAAACTTATATTTTTCGCTCTTACTCCATTTTATTTTAAACATGGTTAAAATTTAATGTAAAATTTAATATCGGTTGTAAAAAAACCATCAAAAGTAACAGTAACATCAGATGATTTTTCTGGGAAAATCAAAATTATTTCTAGTTATGTACGAGCTTGCTTATGCGAGTTCATTTGTGCATTGCCGCTTCCATGAGTGTGCTGATCAGCATTTCAGAAATACAATTATTTAAGCTCAAATCTTTTCGCTGTCATGATCCACTGAGTATCATACAGCTTTTTATTTAAATTGATCGCAAAAGAAGTCAATTACGGAAAAATCTGGAAAACGTATAAAATGAGAGCAGGGTTGAACTTGCCAAGTTATCAAAGGAAATAATCACTACCTATCGTTGAGCATATGAACTTGTATAGCGCTCTTAGAAATGTCAACAATTTTCACAATAAATAACGTGTCTTCAGATATAAATAAATAGCTACGTTTTAACTTTAATGGAAGTATGGATTCATCAGGAATCTCGGGCACTGTAACTAAAGAAATAATTAATCCTTATTGACATGTAAGTAGATAATAAGCTCTGTTTTGGACAAAACACGCTTTTCCTTGCCAATGAAAAGGCGATAAATTGGAATAATATATAATCGACTTTTTTGTTCGTTTATGTATCTGAAGGTATCCTGAAAAAGATATTAAATTTTTCTGAGTTCTGGTCTGCATGTGACAAAAGCTACACCACTTATAGTCTCGTGTTTATTTGGCATTTATGTATTCATAGTCTCGACTGTGCTTTGCTAACTTCTTCAATCCGTATCTATTACCATGTAAATAACGTCATTTTGGATTCATGTTATTCGCAGCCGCGTATCTGCGACCCTTAACTTTTACGTGGAGGGTGTGGATCTTAAAGCGACGGTGTGTATATTTTACTGTTTAAATTTTTATATTTAACTTGAGAAACTTTTGAGATTAAAAAAATCATCCAGATCAGTTTGCCTAACTTCCCCCATCTGCTTTTGTATTTGGCTCAACATTATTTTTCATTCTCCTTAGTATCTATCTGGTGGTAGCATAAAGCTCAATCCAATTAAATTTACTTTAGCTTCATTACGGCGACTTTTTGAGTCGGATAAATTTTCATTTAAAGAGATGCGCCTGCAGTATTATTTCCGCCAGGTGAAGTAACTAACGTGCAAAATTCTAGCTCATCTGCACCATAACTTTTTGTACTGATTTTTTAATCCGGTCAATTCGGTTGCGCAATTTTAATGCTAATTATGTTATGATGTCAAAAACAAATTTTTGTACTCATTGTTCGATATAGGACAGTTAGAATTGCATAAAATAATTATGCGAATAATAGTTCCAAGTGCAAGTCAAAATTTGCTGAAATATTGGTTTTTTGTATTCTACTTCTATCACATTACAATCTAAACCACATAATAGTCAAACAGTATATTCTTCTGGAGTTTCAAAAATTCCATTACATCTTTAAATATAGTCAAACAAAAATTGGAAAATGATGTAAATCTTAAGGAACGCTCACGTTTAACTACGCTCATATTACTGAGGCTATTATTGAACCTCTCGTAATATGTGTAAGCTCAACTTATTTTCAATTTAATAATAATTTTGATCAACAAAGTTTTAGAATGATGAAATACGAATTTGAAGCAAGAATTTGGTGGCAATATATTGATAATGTCTTTTCAATTTATAATCAAATATATATCAACGTCTTACAGATCAGTTGTTATTGAGTTTTCGAAAAAGTGTTATGGAAACTTAACCCAGTAATTTTTGCTCTAGAACTACCCCGTGAAGTGTTGGTCGCACCATTTTCAGATACCCTGTATATCAAAACTCTCCAAACACATGCAAGATTCAATACATCCCTGAAATATTTTCATAGGAACTGTTTGTATTGGTGTTGTTCATCTATTACACGGCACCAGTTTTCGTATCTCGTTTTTAGAAAATACAAGCATTGATGTATAAAATGGTTTCAGTTTTATTTCGGTTTTTATTTCCATGCCTGCATAGAAACTGAATAAAGACGAATAAAAGCAGCATTGAAAGCTGTTTTCGCTTACCCGGCTTTTCAAGTGCCGGGGGAAAATGAGCCAAAGCCACGAGTTATTATTGGTGGCGGTTGCCATAAAGGAGCCCATTCCGAAACGGAACTATATAATTATGGAAATACATCGAATATGGTTTTAGAATTTTTGAAATGTTTTTGGAAAATATATTAAATTGAATAATGGTTCTTAGATCTTCAATAATCGGGAAAATGTCCAGATTTTCATTGCAAACACTTTGATACTGATATCGTTTCGGACAATTTTGAAAAATTAAAAGAGTGGCTTTTATAATGCCTCTCTAATCCCAGATAACAACTCGATTAATGGTCAAACATTCCACGCTTCGTCGATCATCTTAAATTGCAATTAGTGGGTGAATGAAGATACTGTGTTTTGGTGTTTATAAGACAATGAACAATATGGGTCAATAATTTTGCATTATTATATGTATAGGAGCAAAACGAAATGGATACAGTTTTTCTCTTAACACCACTACCACCATATAAGTTGCAGTATCTCCAGTTTGCTGATTTCCTATTGTTAGTGAATAATCCAGTATATTGTAAGCAAAGTTATGTCAAAATAACATAATCTTCATCAATAAGATTCAATTTCATATCCAGATATCTTGACTCATCCTACTTTTATAACTTATCTACTATATAAAACTGCTGTTTTAAATCGTGAGATGATAGACATACCAACCAATATATTCTAGACATACTCATCTTGACCACGCTGTATATTTTTCATTTCACATAAGTTTGTTTAATCTTCGCAAAACATTTTATAGATTTCTCTGATAAAAAGTTCTGTTCCTAGGCAGAAAGCAGGAAAAAGGAAATTAGCAACGTTAAGATACATGTTGATAATAGATAAATTGTAAAGCGAAAAAACTGTAAAACCAAGAGTCACCAAGAGCTTTGTTACACGAAATACAAGGTGTCAATAGTTTGAAATTTAGATACAAAACATGAAATATGTAACTTGACCTAACAGGTCATTTGGTACGCCAAAAGGATGCGACACTCCTACCTATTCAATTTCTTTGAAGATCTTCACTAGAAATTTTATTTGCAAGTTTTGCAATTTGCAAACGTATTTTTTCATTATTTTCTATCTAGTATCTAAGCTAAAAATATTTGACAAGTTAGGACAAAAATTTGAATAAGCAATTAAACACAGTTAAAAACCAACATATTTTTAATTAAACATTCGGAAACCCAAAATTGGTATGTACTTAAAAATACTTGCATCTCGTCAAATTTGATCTCTAAAAATAATCGTTTGTCGACTTTTATATGATCTTAATGAAGTCTCTTAAATTGGATAGTAACGCCCCCAAATTAACCAATTTAATTTTTGTTCATTTGGTGTACCCAACGCTACTTCGCATACTCATATTATTGGCAAATGAGTACACTAGACGGCACAAGTGTATAATAATAAAATACATTTTTTGTAAAAACATCGTTTGTTCCCGATTCGTAAAATGTTGGAATGATGATGTCTGTTTTAAAAGCCCAATGGTCTCCCTGTTTAATTTTGCTTCAGCGTCCCCTTGTATCTGTCGATTCACACACGAATAAAAATCTCGTTATCTCTAACCCTGAAAATGTTGAAAAATAATCACTTGGACGCGTGCAGCCTCTTGACTGCACGACCTTTTTATCCTGCCGTACTTAAGCCCTAGCAGGACATCGTTATTTCCCTGCAGGAATCACTAGGCTTTGCGGTTGTTATAGAAAAGTGTTTTATAGGGAGCTTTTGATTGTCTCAACCGGTTTAATTAATATTCTGACTCCACTTTACCGAATTTCCTTCTAAAGGCTGAGAAGATGATCGAACTACATCCAGTTATCAAATGAAGTTTCCAGACGTCTGTACTAATTATCTGAAATTTGCAATATTGCAAACATTCGGTGTAGGCACTTCTGAGCACCTGAGCGCTTTTTTATGTTTTTAATATATTAAACGATGAAACATCAACAGCCCCTTTTAATTTTTGCCCTAACGTATTTTTTAGCTTGTGTATAATCAAATGCTCATCAAACATAATTTTTTGATTTACAATGCGAAGATTTAATGCTTTCCTTACTGGCGCCCAGGACACATTTCTATTGCATAGTAAAATGATCTGTTTTAGATTATTTTAAATTTTTTTAGGTTTCTCAATATTTGGGCGAGCACCTATAGAGGCGCAGAGCAGAGCCGCAAGTGGGCGATAGCAATACTGTTGTATAATAGCAATTTTGTATGCAAATAATAGCTATTTCCCAAGTAAATTTTTGTACTTTATGTCTACACAGTTTTTCACTTTTACTGTGGAAAATTATTGTTCATTTGCTAAGCTTTTTGCTCAGCCAGTTCTGCTAAGTCAGACAATTTTCTCTCAAGTTAGAAATCTGAGTGAGTAGGTCAACAAAAGCTGAACGATAATTTCAATAATGTCTCTTGCTTGCTCGTTTTAAAAAAATCGTATATAAAAAGCTACGAATTTTATGCGGGACATTTGAATAACCCTGAAAGCTGATTCCAATGGGTGGCAGTTAAATAATCAATAGTAGTATTACGAAACATTTTTATTCGGGAAAAACTACATGCATTATATTAAAAGCACAATAATGAACGCTATTGATGATACATCGAAATTACATCAAAACAAGCTGGATTTGTAAAAAACTGTTTCGCAATTTTTTGAATTCTTTTAATAACTAACTGCTTAAATTTTGAATTAGGGCTGACCAGTTTTCTCACTAGTAAATCTCCTGTCTTTATACAATTCTAACTACTCCTAATTGATCCCATGCGAATCTTGTAAACATAACAAAAATTTACAAACGTCTATACAGCGAATTCCATCAATGTTATCCTCGTAGAAGTTACGGTTTTCAGTGGTATAATCTATGCCACGTTTCCTAAATGTGGCGATTAGTTCTGCTAAAAATTCACATTTCCACTTATTATTAGCTATTCTTACACGCTTCAAGAACTGCAAATTTGAGACCAGTGGGTATAAGGTTATTTTTTTTAGATTGTTAAATTCCAAATTTAAACTTTCCAGTGCTACTAAAGGTAGAAATGACTCGAAAAGTAATTCTGAGATACAATTGTTTTGAATATCTAACTCTTTGAGAGATGCCAAGTTTGAAAACGTGCCAATTTTGATTTGGGTTAGATTGTTGTTAGCGATGAGAAGGCTCTGCAGTTGGGGAATGTTTTGAAAAGATCCCAACGCAATATCGCGTATGTTGTTATCATTTAAATTTAACATTTTCAAGCTATCTAGACCGTGAAAGTCTTCCCGTTCTAGAACATTAATTTTATTATAACTTAGATCTAGAACTCGTAGGAAACATAGTTCAGAAAACGTTGACTGCCAAAAATAACTTAGTTCATTATGACTCAAATTTAGTACCTGTATTTGCTTTAATCCGTGGAAAGTGTGTGGTTTCAGATTTTGCAGCTTAAGATGTGACAAATTAAGATAACTTAAGCTATACAAATCTTGAAATATGGAACTATTCAAAGCTATTTGATTTTGAAACATTTTAAAACCCTCAAGTGTTTGCAGACTGAATAAGCCTCTTAAAGCGCCAATCGACAAATTTTGAATGGTGGAATTTTGGAATTCCACAACTGTCAAGTTAAATAACCCTTGAAATGCTCTTTCTTCGATGTTATTAATGCTTGAGTTGCAAAACACCAATTGTTGCAAAAATGGTGTTGCTAAGAACGATTTTTGATGAAGAACCCCGTTGAAAGTTACTATCAGTTTAGTCAGCATAAGGTGCTCAACATTGCTAGATAAGCCTATTGAAGTTACATTACTCTGGGTTAAATCCAATAAATTGAAAATTGTTATATTGTAGAACATATCGGAAGTAATTTCAGCCACTTTGGAATGCTTTAAATATATATTTAATGGGTTTGAACTGGAAAGCTCAGAAAAGGCAGCTCTTTCTATAGTCAGCATACCATGGTTTTCATCAATATGTATCTCCTCGATATAATTCAATCTATGAAATGATTTACTTTGAATTGTTTCTAAACAATTTCTAGAAATTGTCACCTTAGTCAAGGGTAAATTGCTAAATAATTGGCTAGTTATTGTGGTCAATTTGTTATTGGCAAGGTTTATTTCGCGAACTGATTTTAACGGCTGAAAAACCACAGACTCAATAGTTTCTAATAAATTATTTTCCAGGTTTAATATTAGCAACTTACTCAAATTATAGAATGCCTCATCGTCAATTTGTGTTAGATAATTTGAGGCCAAGCTTAAATTGGACAAACTGTTGCCAACATTGGCAAAACTATTTTTATTTAAGCTAATATTATTAAATGACAAATCTAACTCGTACACAAACCGCATACTTTCAAAACTTTTATCATTCAGTTGCATGATTTTATTGTAAGATAATTTAAGGTGACGAATTGCTGCGCCATGAAACACATGAACAATATTTTCAATGCGATTGTGAGATAAATCTAAAAGTTCGATGTTGCTTAATGTAAAGAGATAATCATTGAGGATGGTAAAGTTATTATAACTGAAATTTAAATACATGAAATTCGCCCCTTGGAAGGTTTTCGGATTAATATTGGTCAACGAGCATTTTGAAAAATCTATGTAAGTGGTGCCATAGATTTTAGAATGTGTAGAAAGTTTTTTATCGAGTGTTACTAAGGAGTTTCCCGAAACAATCAAATGTGTGCTGGATATACGATATTTTGGATACATCAGAATGTCCCAATCGGTTAGAGACTGAGATAAATTAAGTAGGTGAAAATGTACTTCAGAGCGCTCTTCGGTGTCAGTACTATTGGCAACAGTACTGGTCAAATTGTTATTTGCTAAGTTAAGGTTCAGGTTACTCAACCCCTGATAAAAACCGGCCTGATGTATTTCGATTTTTTTGATGCAATTATTGTTTAAATATAAATAATCTTTGACTGGGAATGACCAGAATCCCGTTTTCTTGGGAAGCTCGAAAACAGCAATTTGGTTAAATGACAAGTCTAAAATCTTAAGAGGTGAGCAAAACAATTTAAAGTCTACATTGGTAATTTTATTGTTGGTTAAGTTCAAGTCTTTTAAGGTTTCGGGTAAATTCGATACAAAATTGATTTTATTTATATTATTGGAACCCAGATCGAGATGCTTTAATCCTTTCATATCATTAAACGCGCCACCAGCTACGTGGTTAATGCCGCAAAAATTGAGCGATAAACTTGAAACGTTAACCAACGGTTGTTCATGGCTTACTGTAGGACTCAATAAATGGTAAATGTTAGGAAATTTTGAGTTTGTAATCCTCAGCTCGCGCAAATTAGTTAAATATTTGCGGCAAATGTCTAGTTCAAACATTTCAAACAGATAGTCGTCTATGGTAGTGTTGTGGCATGTTATATCCAAATATCCAGAATCTGGTTCTTCTGCCTGTTCGCATTCATCCTGAATCCATCCGTGCGGTGCCTTCACGTGACACTTAGCAAGTGAATCTTTGAATGTGGAGATCAGTATGATAGTACAGATAAATGTCTTTAGCCAAAACATCTAAAAATAAATAGTTGTAAAATAAAAAATAACATATTTTTATCCGACCATGTGTTAAACATATAGGTCTTTAAAAGCCTATCACAGCCGTTATATTAATAACCGTTATAAGAACTCAGTCAAGACATTAATTCCGATCACAACTTGCCATATACCATACATTAGAGTCAGAAGCACTCGTGAATTCGGAGAAGGCTACCTAGTAGCTCAATGTGAAGAGATAGAAGGTTTAGAACAGATATTTTGCATGTAGAAAAATTTTATATATAATATAAATGAAGTGGCTCGATCTAACAAGGTGAAACTTGCAATAATATTATTGAAGGTACAGATCCACTGATGTCTCGGCAAACTGCATTGGATTATAAAAAATCGGATTTTTTCTTAAAAAGTTTTTTCTTTCTTTTCTCCTGAGGTTGGAGGACAAACATTTTGGAAGTGAGGAATCTGTCCCAAACCACATTGTTCGGATTAATGTATTATTGTTTAGGGGCAGATTCCGAACGTTCAGATTGGTGGAAATTCGGATAAAAGCAAGTTCGGATTAAAGGAGTTTTACTGTATATTTACACTCAAGTGATAATTTCGTAATGTAGCTGTTAGCTATTATTCATTTGCAATCCCAGTTGTTCAAACTTGTTAGCCAAACGATGCCTTTTTCACCACCTCTATTGACAGAACATACACCAAACACTTGAAATTCTATTTATTATTAGTGATAATGCAGGGCAGCATTCCATTATTACGTAAAATGGCTAATCGTTATAGTTAAGATAGTAAATATGAAGAATTGAGCAAGAGAGAAAAAGATAAAAGAATAAAATTATTGCCAAAAGACAAATTTAGTTTATGTACTGAACAACGAACTCCGCGAACTCAAAAACACGAAAAGTGGACCTTCAAGCAACAGAAGCGAAAGCGTAACTCACCAATAAAAATATTTATTGCTCCTAACAATCGGCAACCACTATTGTTTTAGGGCCAGACTCCAAAATTTTCCTTTTAAAGTGTAATTTAAAACTAATTCTAATGTGAGAAAGCAAGTAGCTAAATATCTTTAATACCAGAAGCACACAAAAGTTCTAATAACTTAATATTATATACTATAATAATTAGTAAATTACTTGCCTTGGGAGACGTTGAACATATGACGGTTGATGAAGGAAAGCGTACAAGCACGGTTCCAAACAAACTGTATGGATTTTTCAATTGTATGGAAATATAGCAATCGAATATTCAAAAATTATAGTGCACATGACTTAATGGTATACATATTAGACAGGGCTTGCACATAAACAATATTTTTTTGCCAAGAAATTGTGTCTATTGCAATTTTAGATATCAGCAAAATACTAAACAAAACTAATTACTTTTGGGGAGAGTTTGAAAAAAAAGGTATATTTCTCGATGATATTCGCTCTTGAAAACGGACATTCAACTTTGCTATTAAGCAACATTTTAAAATAGTCCAATAGTTTTAATTTCGCAAATTATGAATATAATATAGTTTTGTAGAAATTTGTTGGTATTTTTTAAATTAAATTTCAACATCATGTCACCCTAAAGTTTTGGGCTATCGTTTATATACCAAACTAGTGTTATTTGCGGATCTAAAATACTAAGATAAACATCTTGTACATTGTGCGTACATAAAATATTATCAAGTGGAAAAAGTTCTTCAAATGGAAATGCAAAATATAAAATAAATCTTGAACTAACTTTTTTATAATAAAACAATCGTCATAATCAAACGCACGACACGATATGTATAAAACAGTTTCATTCTCCTCAAGTTGTATTTTTCTCCGGCTGATCTATTTAAAAGCCGAATAAAAGATCCCATCAGTTTCAAAGCCGAAAGTTATAGGGTAGTTTATGCAGTAAATAAGATGTTTTGAATACATTAGGGTTGGCAATCTCGGTTCCAGTAATAGGGCTCGTTAGGGGGATAATAGTTGCAAATTTGCGCCCGGGTGTCAAATTAGGGCTAATCAAGGAGACATTTGTCGGAAATGACGCCCTTTGTCGGTTAAATAACAAAGAGATTTAGCATCGATATTTACGACGTAGCAGCACGATAAAGACTGTTTCCATAAAAAAATGCAACGTTTTTTTCAGAACCTTGACATGGAAGTTTCATTATCCCTTTCCCTTGTCCTCGAGAACCTAAAATAAATTTTCGTTCCTGCTTAAAGCTTTTTAAAATTTGACTCCAACAAAACCTAAGAAACCCGGTATGTTTAGTGGATCTTTTACTCTGCGCCGACGTTCGCTGGAGGCAATTTTGGTTGCACACCCGACCTGTTGGGCATCTGACGCACGCGCGTTTTAATGTTGTTGGGCGATGCGGTGGAAGTTTGTCGGAGATCGGTGTAGGCATCTCCCAACGATCGCCAAACCTATTTTGTGACCGAAAGTTCTCAACTTCTCGCGTTATTTATACTATTATTGTTTTAAATATATAGAAAACGATCTCGATGTCTTGTATAGTGTTAATCGGGATAATTCGGACTTGGAGATTTGAACATACCACAAAGGTACGTAAAGAAAACATCAACAAGCGTGATATGCAATTCACATAATAATTGAATTATATTCCGGTATAGTCGAGATCTGGAAAATACCTTAGATAAATTTACTGAAGGCGATTTCAGAAAACGCTTTTGTTTCTCAAAGGAAATTGTGCAAAATGTTTTGTTGCCATTAATCAATCACCAACAACAAATCGACGCGTTCCTGTTCGTTTGATAATAGATATTTTTAATGAATTTTATTGTGAGGCCCTACTTGGTGCAAAAATTCAAGCTTGTACCTATGGTGTGTTTTTAAATAATAATAATAATACACAAAGTTATTACTGAATTACATTTTTTTCATGTTTAGAAAGGAGGTTTCGGAATCAATTGATTGATTTCCTCAACGTTAATAACGGCTTTTACCGCTAATTTGTCTTTTCTTAGGAAAATGAACACCAAGCAGTGCCGAACTTTCATTAGTAAATTAATAATATCACCGCAAAAGTGGACGGCGTGGTCCACCAGAATAGCGATATTGCGCATGCTCATTCTATGGGAGAATCGTCGGCGATTCCACTTAACGAAGGACAGCTTTGCATCAAAAACCCGTCGTTTTCGCGTTGACGGCGGCGCTATTGGTCATTCGGCAACAGAATATCCGGCAAAGTTCCGAAGATCGACTAAACATACAGGCCTTAGTAGATCCAAGATACTATCGTACTATAGATAAAAACTAATGTGCAGAATTAACGCTAATATAGTGTTAAATCGCTACCTTCAAGAAATAATAACGAGATTCACTCAAAAACTCCTCCAACTTGAATACTTCGGCTAATTCCGCGAGGCGGATCTCGCATAATCCCGAAAAGCATTACAGAAAGTGATAGCGGTTTGTTTGCCATTATCCACCTATTCAACAGAGCTTTTATGAATGCTTTTGATTGGCAAATTACACATTTTGAAATAGATAAATTAAATTATAGAGTATTTTGAGGCTTCTAAGAAGGGTGTCGTTACATATAATCACTAAGTTAAATGGAGAATATAATTAAATTTTTAAAGTATCAAATCACATCATCATTGTTACCTTAAGTAGTTTACGAGAACACCAAATCAGTTTGCAATCGGAAAAAATCAACAGAAACAGAAAACGAATGATTTGCTGTCGGTGAATCGCTTGATCAGCTAACTTAAACTTTGTTCCGAATAAATTTTGTCACCTTCGAAAATTCCCGAATACCCAATTTTAGTAAAAAAAACTCCAAATTGTTAATTTTTCCGTGAAAAAGACCATTAAAACAATAACTTTGATCACCTGGATTTCTTTGTCCGTTGACTTCTTCTAAAGTAAGTTGTGCTAAATCATATTATTTCTACCACAGCAATCTGCAATTAAATTTGTTACCGTTACTTATGAAACGCCCCTATACAAAAAAAAACATTTTCATCTATCTCAAACTAATTTGTTGTATACGATTTAAGATAAAAATGATTATTTTATTTAATACTTTATTTCTGGGCTCAAAATACTGTTCTGAAATCCACCATTGAATTTTGTCAATTACTTATAGAACATTCTAGAGTGTTTTGTTATCAAAAATGCATTGTTTAGAAAGATGTAGGTTATTTTAAGATAGTCCATTGTGGTGAACTCTTAGACTTCGGAAATTCGCCTGCAAAATAGCCAAGAATAACAATGTTGGAAAAATTGATCTCTGAGGCACCAAACCACCTTTCCACCAAAGCTACTGACAACAAGATGACAAAATATTAACAAATTAATATGTAAAATTTTTTACTTTTGTGATTCCATAATTTTATGCTCTTGTCTTTCCCTTGAAATTATGTGTGACTGTTTTCGGAACTTATTTTAGAAGAAAAATAACGAGTAACGGTGCAACCTTAATTCTTTGTCAAATAAAGAAATGGAAAACTAAACTAAAATAAACGTATATCTTAACTTTGAGCTTAATTTACATCAATTTCCGCTTAATTTGTAAAATTAATATTCGTTGACACACGGTCGGGCCATCCTGGCTCAGTGCGGTTTCGTATTTTTTCAAAATCTTGTAAATTTTATATTATTTTAAAATAACCAGAAATTACAATTTCCCGCTTTTTTTGCCTAAAACTATATTTTACTTGTTAGATAATTATGAAAACCTGGAGCAATAATATAATATAACAGACCCAAAGATTTTAAAACCAATAATCTAAAATCAATTTATACCCCGCATAGGGTGACGACAACATTTTTTATTTCTAATGGATTAAAGCACAGTTTAGTTTTGCATAGCCTCCAGGAGCGTTTCTCCTATTTTGGCAGGAGATCGTGTAATTTTTACTCCTACAGCTTCCAGAGCTTTCACTTTGTCTTCGGCTTTTCCTTTGCCGCCCGAGATAATTGCTCCTAATTCACCAAAAAAATAATTAGAGCTGATTTAACAAACCTAGCAGCAAATTGACCTGCATGTCCCATTCTACGTCCTGGCGGCGCGGTCATTCCTGCAATAAAAGCGACCACTGGCTTGGATTTGCTGCCTTTATTGTGCTGGGCCAGATATTCAGCTGCGTTTTCTTCGTCCATCCCACCAATTTCACCGATCAACACTATGCCTTCAGTGTCGGTATCGTTTAAAAATACCTCTAAACAGTCGATAAAATTAGTCCCATTAAACGGATCACCACCAATTCCTACACAAAGTGTTTGCCCTAAGCCAGACTGGGTAGTCTGGTGCACCGCTTCATATGTAAGAGTTCCTGACCTAAATGATATCGAAAATAAACGAATTGAAACACCAATGGAAGGAAATTATTTCAATTACCGGGATACAATTCCAACTTTTCCTTTTTGATGAATGAAGCCTGGCATTATTCCCATTTTGCAAGCTTCGGGATAGATAATCCCTGGACAGTTGGGTCCGACCATTCTGGATTTGTCCTGTCTCACTAGCCTGTGTTTTACTTTTACCATGTCATGCTGTGGAATACCTTCAGTAATGACCACAATCAGTTCGATTTCGGCATCCAGTGCTTCATGAATTGCTTTCGCAGCTCCTGTAAGCCAAATATTGCTTTTTTATGTGATAAAAGCTCCATGGGTACCTACAACGCATTTGTAACTGTTCAAATGTTTAGTGATAAGATGCTAGAGGATTTTCCTAAGTATATAAATTTAAAATAATTTCGATTCTGACAAAACTTTGATTGTGAGCGTTCGGATTTCAGTTTATGTCACCTTCCTTAGCTAGTTGTTCTTAAATGCAATGATTTGAAAGAATCGGGTTTCAGGCATGTTTCTCTTTGGGCCGTAAACTTACTGCAAAATCAATAAACTCATTATAATAACTCTTAAACATTAAGATGGATTGTCTTTGCGTCTTTGACATTTTGGTTTAAAATGTATCTTACAAGCTTGTTGTTATGTCCATCCTTCATGCAAATTGTAATACCGCTTTATAAAAATATTATCACATACAGTTATTACTTGAAAAAAATATATTGAAACCGCATTAGTATACACTTCTAGTTAGCTGTTGTAAACTGTTTAGACAAAATAAAAACTGTTAAACAAAAATATTTAGAAACAGTTTCTTCAAAAGTCGAACTTTACAATCGGTCATACAGATTGTGCAGTGCAGGATCCATCACAGCATATTCTTTCGTATGTTCCAAGCTCCACCTTTTCTTGTGTTCCCTAATTTCAGCTTCATTTAATTATTTCGTGAATCCGTTTACGGTGTAATTTCCATGTTATTATCCAATTATATTGTTTTATATTATTTCTTTACAACTTATAACTCAAATAAAACGTCGCAAATGAAATGTTGTTGTTTCGCCATAACTTAAATAAATTAAAATGAAATAGAAGAACGTAACATTAAGCTACAAAAATAAACGTAAAAAAGCCAGAATTTTTGTCAATTTGTAGTTATTTTATTGTATTTTATATAAAAAGTTTTGGCCCAATTTTTGCACCCACCCAATGTGTCAAACCAGCAACAAAAAAATAATTCAATTCAATTAAATTGAATTATAAATTAGATGCTAATCCTTTCGTTCCATGTCTGCTTGGAAAAATTCTGTTTAATCTTCGAGCTCATGATGTCATAAAAACCCATTCGTCATACGAATTACCAGCAACTCCTAATTTTTCGTCGATAATAACAAGAAAAAAGAAAATATTAACGAGTACAGCAGTTAAGGGTTTTTGATTATAAGCCAGTAAATGCTACTATTATATAAATATCGATTTATATAATAGTAGCATTTACTGGAATTTTAGGACGGTTAAACGTTTTGTGAAATCTAAGTGGAATCTGCTCTCTCGTGCATTAAAAATCGCTTATTATTTCAGCCCAAATGTTTAAGTTGACACGAAATTTTTTCTGCAACACATGTTTTTTTTAAATCACTTTCAATGTGTAGATGCGATTTTTGAAGAATTGGGCGAATGAATCGCGGACGTAGAAAATCTTATATGGAGCCTGAGCTTGAGCTTTCCCCTAATAGAGGGGTGGCAAAACCTAAAATCAATACCGAGAATAACCGTTTTTTAGAAGCATCACATCAATATAATATACATTCTTTTTGGTAGAAATCTGTTTTTAGAATTTAAACTCTGTGGTGAATAGTTGTATTAATCCGTTGAAACATCATAGACAAATAATTGCCGGGGTTAGAAACAAAAAGTGCAATTTCTAAATGTTGGCGGAAAATTGCGGATTAGTTTTGTGATATTTGAAATATAGAAATAATTTGTGAATAGTTAACAACCAAATCAAAAATAATGAACTAAAATAAAACAAATAACGAAGAAATATTACAAATAAACAACACTAATCGTCGTAGTTCGAAACCACTTCTACCACCCATTCTTCGAGGTTTTCGTTTGCGTCTTCAATAATTTTCGCAGTTTTATTTCCGTGGGATTATTTTTCTATTTTGGCTTCATGTTGCAAAGACTTATAGTGCTCGTGGTGCATCGGAAATGTTCATATTCGGTCTTTCTTTTTGAAGAATTGAACATTTCTCAGATTAACATGAAATAACAATGTTTATGATCTGTTAAAATAAAAATGATATAAAACTAGCTCTTTCCCATCAAAATTAAGAACATTCGCTCCATTACAAGCGTTTTTTAAAGTCTTTCAAAATACAGTGAAAAATTGCAAGCTAAACAAATGAGTTGCTGGGACATTAATAACGATAAAGTATTTGGACGACCTGGAAAATACTATCTGAGTAATAATCAGGAATGAAGACATGTGCTTTTTTTCAGATGCAGATGATTCAGTACAATACATATTAACCTGATATTTATCAATTTAACAAATGTTTTTTAAAGAAATGTTGTACATTTTTATTCTGGAGGCCTCATAATCCAGTGGCAAATTCCGATTTATTGAAAAACCTTGAAATTTAATATTCGAGGGTTTCACTTGATGCAACAAAAATGTGGCACTGGATTATATACACAGATTTTCTAGCTTTATAAACTTAAATATAGCTTGTCAAAATTCACAATGTAAAGAAACAACCCGGTTTTAACTCACTTTCTTAGATTGACGAAGGAACATATTTTTTCAAATACCTACGGAAAACATATCGGTGCTAAGGGCCTAAAGACTCATTATCGCCGTAATCAAGCTGGTGTCGCAAAGAAATGGAAATAATTTATAATTTACCCCGCCAAAAAAATAAATCGTAAATAGTCAAATTGCAAGTACCTGGTGGTGGAACAAAGATGATTGTAGCATTGGCTTGAGTAGCAGTTTTGGCTTCTTTAACAGAATCGAAAACTGGCAGACCCAGATGGGTTTTGCCCCCTTTTCCGGGAGAAACACCTCCAACGAAGTTAGTTCCATATTCTATGGATTGCTTGCTGTGAAACGTGCCTTGCTTTCCAGTAAACCCCTGACATATAACCTAGAGAAGAATTAAAAATTTATGTGTGTGCAGTATGCGCACAGTCTTTAGTTCTTGATTTAGTCATGGACCCGTGAAGAAACGAAAGCTTTTAATATTGTACTTAAAACCCCCTCATTTCGTTACCTTAGTGTGTTTTCCGATTTTCAAATTCTTTCTAGTATCATTGTAATTGAAACGGACGGTTTGGAATATCGGATGTCTCTGCAACAAAACTCTAATTAGACCTCGTAGCATTTAGGTCTATATGAACCCCACAGCGAACTATATGAAACGACTTTTATTAGGTAGTTTTTGACATTGATTGACACGTTTAATCGAAGCAAAAAATCTCCGAATGTTTTTTTATATCCGAATTTACTCGATATTTTTCAAATCGCCATGTCGATTAGAGCGCCGTCGAAAAACATTGCCGGATAATTTATAAGATGCACTCTAATGCTATGAATAGAAGCGAACTATTATCCGCTTGAAATGCCCAAAAACATTAATTTGTTTTCAAAAGATACATTGGGTGATAAATGGTAAGTGATGTTAAGGGCGTTTCAGGTATAGGAAAAAAGGTTTTGAAGCGAAGTGTTCTGGCATTTTATCATCCTTGCTAAATAATCTATTGATTGCTTGAAGCGTGGGTTCATTATTGATCCACAAATCAGTGAACCGATCCACGTAAAAATCAATGAAGCCATTGCTGAATTTTTAGAGAGTCAGGCAAGTTGATAGTCAAATTATATTAGAACGGAAATGCATGTTTTACTTGGGATTTGAAGTTAAAATGTAGCTTTAAACAAGACTGGGCTCATTGTTCTTTTTAAGTCATCTGTTAATTTTTCTTGACTGTGATGGTGCTGCTCAACTTAAATCGTTGCTGCTTTAGAGTAGTCTCAATACTTAAGATAATTATTTTAGATTAAAATCGTCTACTTTATTTGTCCGAAAATTTTCCTTTCTAATAAAATTATTATAATAGTAATAAATAAAAATAGGTAATTTTGAAGAGCATCTTGCATAATATCAGCGTACATGATAATTAATTTTTTCACCTTTTCCGTCAGTGATGACAAGACATGATGCCAATTACGCACAACGACTTAATTCAGCAAAAAACAGAGAATGTAAAGGTTTTCATTCGATTACGACCGCTTGAACCGCATGAAATTTGCAGCAACATCTCGCTGATTGACGATCAAAATGTTAAAATCTGGAAAGCTCAGAACGAAAATGATGTAAAAATTTTCCAATTTAACAAAGTGTTTAATCAGAAGGCCACACAGTTAGAACTCTATCAAATGGTGGCTTCGCCTTTAGTGGATCAAGCTTTAAGTGGGTATAATGGCACTATTTTTGCATACGGTCAGTCTGGCACAGGAAAAACGTTTACAATTCTTGGAAAATCTGAAGACAGGGAGCTACGAGGAATCGTGCCTAATATGTTTTCACACATCCTAACGCAAATATCTCTGGCTAAGTCCAGTACCTCGTATTTAGTCACTATAACATTTCTGGAAATTTACAATGAAAAAATCAGAGATCTGCTGAGCCCCTCCAATAGGAAACTGGAAGTGAGGGAAAGTCCAGAGCTTGGTGTCTACGTAAAGAACCTTTCAGGCATAACTGTGGAGTCGTCAGATCAAGCACTGGATATAATTTCCAAGGCTTCCAAGAATAGGACTTCTGGAAGCACAAACTTGAACAGCCAAAGCTCCCGGTCTCACGCCATATTTAGTGTGCGCATAGAGGCAAAACATGAAGACGAGTCACTTAGCTTGGGAAAACTGAACCTAGTAGATCTGGCAGGATCAGAGCGAGTTTCGAAAAGCTTTGCAACTGGTCAGCGGCTCAAGGAGGCCGTCAAAATCAACCTTTCACTAAGTGTTTTAGGAAATGTGATATCAGCTTTGGTAGATGGCAATATTACTCACATTCCTTATAGGAATTCCAAGCTCACGCGTCTGTTGCAAGATTCGTTAGGTGGCAATAGCATGACTTCGATCATAGCAACAATTAGCCCTAGCAGGGAACACTTTGAGGAAACTTGTTATACTCTCATGTATGCAGATCGCGCAAAGAACATTAAAAACACCATTAAAAGAAACGAAGAGAATAAAAGCTTTTTGGAAGGGTTTAGAGAGAAAATTAATGCTTTGAAGCTGCAACTAGAAGAATTGAACGAAGTTCCGCAAACTCCAAAAACGAGACCCAAGCTAAGCAAAAGAAACCCTAAGAAAGAGCAAGAAGACGAACTACACGCAACCAATCAGCTAAAAAAGCTTCTTCTGGATAAGATAGAAATTTTGCAGAAAAAGGTGTTAGTAGGCGGGGAGAACCTGATTGATAAGTCACGCCAACAAATGGAGCTACTTGATCACAGTGCCAAACAAATACAACAATTGGATAGCTCACATGAATTGCTGCAAGAAACACTGCATTGCAAATTATTCGAAAAGTCAGCTGTGGAAATGCTGAGTTTGTCTTTACAAGAAGAAGACAAACTGTTGGACCTTCAGATCCAGGAAGCGGAAAAACAAATTTCAAAATCCGAAAAGCTGCTCTTTACTAAAGAAAGCGAATATCAGAATGAGATCAGCAATCTACTCTACACTAACAAATGTTTGGCAAGAGAATTGCAAATGGCAAATTACGTCGTTGGTAAACATATTCCTAAAGGTGATTTAGAAAAAGTCAGAGAGAACATATATTGGGACGAAGAAGCACAAGAATATAGATTAAAGTTAATAGCGCATTGCGGCAACAATTTAAAGAAAATTAGCTTACATATCGAAAAAGGTCCAATCGTGCAAAGGGCAATGAAGAAGCGTTACAGAAAGTACCCCAATGAATAAGCAACTATTAGATCGTTAACTAGAATTAAAATTTCTACAGACATGGATTGTTTACTTATTTGTTTGAATAATGCAATTTTTGGTCAATTTTGAACAATTTACTTCGATCTTCGACAGTCATTCATGGAGTTTCGACTGGTCGATAGTTTTATTGTTAAAAGCGTTGCCTGGATTTTGTTTTTTCATCTCATATTTAGCCGTTATAATGATCGTTTCCTGCCGGATTACGCCCACATCTAGTAAGATGGTTATTTGAACGATTGATAGATTGGCTGGTTATAGATGTGGCCATCCCAGCCTAAGTATCTTCTTCCTGCCTCCTTTTCGTTGTGAATGCATCGCTTCACCCAGGGGCAAAATTTGTCGAAAAACGACACAACTACACATATTAGGAACAAAGATGGAATTGTTAGAAGAAAAATAAATATTACAAAATTATACAATATGATGGAAATTGATACTTCAGAAGAAGTTCAATTAAAATACGACTCTTCTTCAACAAAAGAAAGAATATGAGCTTAAAGGATATTTTAATTAAAGTCGTTTTGTGTTTCTTTGAGTGATTTATATGATCAACATAAATAAGTATATTCTTAACCAAAAACCCGAGACTTAAGGAGAATCAATTTGTCCCTTGCCTAGATGGACTGGAATGTGAATTGCAGGTACAATAAACAAAATTTTTCATCCGTAATATGTCGCATGACCTTCTAATAATGAGTATATTTTTCAACGATGATGCCAGACTTGTTGGGATGTACATAGTATATAAAGTGACTAACAATACGACAAAATTTCAAAATATATAAACCTAAACAAAAGTTTAATATTTTAAAATGTCGTCTAAGAGCATGGAGCTCCATGGAGCGTTATTTTGAAATAAAAGGGTAGCATAGAGTGTTGTACATTTTGAACAAAAAGGTAAACATAAACAATGAAAACCTTTTTAATAAATTAAAATTGGCCTCTTATGAATTCTAAAAAGCTATTGTTGTCTAGCTAATATTTGCTTAAAATTACTCCGGGGTTTCAGTTATTTATTGTCTCTATTTATCAATCAAAATACGTTTCGGTGTATTTTTCCACCATAATCAGTTTTTCTAAAATAACAGATAGTTAAAAAATGTTTTTTTATTAATTTAAAAAAAACAACCACAGTTCGTCAACAACCTCAACATATCACATATTAAAATACATCACAATTGCAATACTTTAAAACATTCTAAAATTAATTAGGCCTAATAGGTATGATTAGTCAGGACAATCAAATTCGGGATGAGACTAGAATTCTTCGTTCAGATACTTAATTATTTTTAGGACCAGACCAGACCAAGAGGGTATTATTTTTGGTTTGCAGAATTCTTCAATATACCGGGTGTTAGTTAATATTTTATGTTTATTTCATTTAATTAATGTATGATATACTGAGCTAAGATTGTCGGTATCCGATCTGAAATTCCTAGCATTGTTATGTATTTTAATCTGTATCATTTCATGGACTCTTCTCTTATTACAATTACCCTCGCTAATCAGTATTTTTGTGTTATCAAAATCAAAATTATGCAATCACCTGTTAGGCCTTATTAATTTTAGAATGATTTAAAGTATTGCAATTGTGATGTATTTTAATGTATGATATGATGAGGCTGTTGACGAACTGTGGTTGTTTTTTTAAATTATTGAAAAACGTTTTTTAAATATCTGTTATTTTAGAAAAACTGATGATGGTGGAAAAATACTTCGAAACGTATTTTGATTGATAAATAGAGACAATAAATGACCAGGAATGAATTTGATTTGGAATTAAAACACAGTCAGGAAATTATATACAATTTAAAATTACTACTAACGAAATTAAATTGTGAGAGAAGTAAAAGTAAACGAGTTTTGACGTGGTCCATTCAAATAGTTTGTCAAGTATTCAGTAATTTGCATGCAAACAACCGGTATTATACGTATATATAAGTAAAATTCTCAAATAAAAATTGAGCAAATCGAGTAGCGAGTAATTATTAAAAAACCTGCGGTGTCAATTTGCCTGCTCTGTGGTTTAAGCTAATAAAAAATTGAAGGCTCAGATTCACATTCAACGCTATTAACATTCCAATCGATTCAAAGAACCAGGCTAAGGTATTTGACCTTTGACCTCAGCTACGGCGCACTGAAATGCATCCAATGCGTTTCCATGAAACTGCTGCCGGTTCTGCATTCGTCCTTCCTCGCTTCGCCTCAGTAATTTACCAAATTTACAAGTAAACTGATTTTTACTCAAGATAGTGCCCCGAGCAAATAATTTATTTTGCTAAGAGTTGACCAGAAAAAATATTTAAAGATTCGTAATTTACGAGGAAAATAGTACAGACTTTGATGAACCGTGATTGTTCGATGTTTAATCAAGTTTTCTTCGAAAAATCAATATACTGCTTGTTAGGAGATGTTGGCTAAACTATCGAATAAAATCATTATGTTGCGTATTAGGAGTGTCCAGATGTCAAGTTATGGTTTAAAATGTTTATTGAAATTAAGTTATCACTTTATAAGGAAGCTTATATTTTCTATATAAGTAGATAATGCTTAAACCAGTTTTCATTTTTTTTTAATTGTGTAACCCGTTGACACAAATCAGAGCATTAAAAAAACATGTAAACCTTTGAGATCCAATATTTTCCAACGAATATTTTTAATAGACATCTCCATATGCAAAGGATTGATGTGTTTGGTTTGGAACATCTGCTTAGTTAAAGGGAGCATTGGAACGCATAATTCGTTGCCAAGTGGTGGGTTTCCGACACAAATATACATAACTTCTACCTGGACAGAAATGGCAAGGGTTTCAACTTTAAGCTAAGTTATCTTCAGGTTTAAAAATGCATTACGGGCATCCGTGTAAAAGTGATTATTGTTTACTGTTTGTAATTGTTGAATTAAATGTCCAACGCTAAAGGGCAAAAAATTTTTCACTGCCTGTAATCTTTTATATAGAAAGGTTTGCTTCGCTACTAAATACGGCCACATTCACTTACACCGAGAAGTGGCTCACACTCAACATGTTTTGGTTTCTCTTTGTACTGTATTATTTAATAAATTTAGATGTGTGACTTCTCTGTTTTAGTTTTTGAAATGTGTAAAATGTAATGCTAATGCACTTATAACTTTTGCTCATATCACATTACGGTTAATGTTTTCCGTCACTTAACCACATATATATATATATTTCGATTCCGTTCTTAAGACGAAAACCCTGAAGAACGAAGGTGACTAGAATAAGGTCATAAGATCGAAAAATTGGCTCTTCTCCAAAAGCACAGATTGTGTACACGTTTGCCCGAAACCCGCCACTTTAGAGCAAATCATCGTTCACACGGAGCCAACTATTTATAATATTATGACATGTTTTGGGGTATGTAAAATTGAATTTTTCCGATTATGTTCAATAAGCGAATTAAAGCCATCGTATGATGAATAATATTTGAGCTATATCTACTTAATTAAAATTTCCGCCTTAAACAAGTTATTATTTGCATTCAAACTCCTTTCATCAACATCCTGTTGAGTTTTTTCCCACTGTGTTCCAATTCTGAAATAAATCGGCATTTGGCGAAACATGCCGATTTTGTTTTCGAGCGGAAAGTTTGTGATGAATATGCTGAATTCCTATTTGCAGCGTTTAAAATTGTCGGACAAAGTTTTGAAAGGTCGTTCAGACTTTTATTGATTAAGTAAAACGTATACTCTTTTAAATTCAAGGCCTTTCAAATGTCACTTAAATTTTATTACTTTTTTATGCATCAATAATTTATTATGAGATGAGAAATGTTAATGTATTGGATTTTTTGATCAGTCGTCATAAAAAAGCTATTTTTTGAATCCTTCAAACTAATTTTTAACATATATCGACGCGGTCATGTCTGGCCTTTATCTTCTCCTAATGTCTTGCTGCTTGATACATTTCTTGAATATACGGTTAATCTACTTCCGTTGCAGCAGTTTTCCAGAAAATATAGCTGTTCCAACTCTCCTCCTGTAAGCACATAACTTTTGCAGCAGTATTCATGACGCTTATTTCTAAATTGAACTCGAGCTCGTGTACATTTACATATAAATAAAATAACACTCTCTTGCTAATTTTGCCCACACATTTGAAACTTCAGAACAATATTATCAAGTTTTCTGCTTTCACATCATGGCCCTAAAACATTACCCTAAGACGTGCACAAAAAAGTGCAGTTATTATTGTATCTTCGTTTGTTAATGAAATGAAAATATTGTTAGTTTCTAGTTAGGCTTAAGTAGAGGCAACATGTTCCCTTCGTTTACTTTAATTTGCCTGATTGCTTTACTTTGTTTCTCCCTTTATTTTTTTATAGTAAAACGATCAAAACGTATTTGAAATTAAAATTACCATTTTATTGAATGGAAATATTTGACGAATTTATGTCGATATACGGACTTACTTGGAAAGTTGTTTCCAGATACAACGCGACAGTTTAAAGTGTTGTCGATGTTGCGTTTCATGAGATGATAAATAAGATGAAACGAATCTATCGGACATAAATGAGATACTGAATTAAGTGAGCAGTAGAAAGTACCAAACCTGAACCTACAATGTGGCCAAAGCCGTCGTCCGACCTAATTTTACACGAAACGTAAAACAGCAACAATTGATTTTCATGAAAAATACATCTCAGCAATCTAAAACAAGGGTTGTTATTCTTGACAAACGCTATCTACCTGTATCTACTTGATAATGGCAAAAAACATGGTTGTCGTTTTAAATTTTCATAAAAAAAATTTTAACATCAAAAACTTTTAGAATTTTTCTTTTCATCTAACCTTTGTATTTTGAAAGCCTGTGGGTTGTGGTGATATATTTACCTAGCAGGTGAACCACGGCTTCGAAGCCAGTAAACCAGAAACTTTACTGAATATGTCGGTCGTGAAAGTTTACATTCTATGGTTTAGTTACAAATTGATAATTCGAAAGAAGAGCCGAATACTTTCAACTTGCCACATACCTTCTGGGGACTTGTGAGCAGATGCCAGACATTTTTGAAAGAAAGGCTCTCGCACAGCTGGCTATAGATTTGCATATATTTTTGATGGTCTATTTTGGAACAGTTTTCATAAAAATATTTCACTTGCTGATTACCGATCAACATTTTGCACTATTGAATTAAAGCAACGTAAACCCACCCTAGACACCGACAAGAAAACTGTAAATCTGATAAAATTTTGACAACCATAACCAGTTGAAACTGTATTAGAAAGACGCGACTCTTAATTATTTAATTTGTTTTATTAATGATTATTCCATCTTTCTGTCGTAAGCTTTTGCGTCTAGTGTAAGTTTAATTTCGGGCTTTAGATAAACTGATGTAAAGTTACTGCCTAAAAAGTAACTTGTTAACTTCCTTTTTTCTTGCTGTAACGTACAACCAAAAATTAGTGCGATTAATGAAAATATTTCGATCGTATACAAAGTATGTAATATTTTAGCGCCTGCATATAATACGAAATAAATTAGGCATTTATGTAAGTATTAATTTAGGACGATCCCCCTTAAATCATTCAATGCGATCCCATTGGAAATTTTCTCCCAATACATATCCACACAAAAAGATATCCTCTAATACCCACGTTTGCTAGAAAAAAACTCGCTCGACCAGACGTTGGGGCTGCTTAGCCAGCAACTATTTTCAAAGTAATATTAAATTTAGGAGTTTCAAGATATTGTCATGATATTATTGGTGAACTTTTTCTCGGAAGAATAAAAACTTAGGATATCACTTATTTATTTCATCTTATAATCTTTTGCTTTTTACTTTTCGTCACAAATTTGGCTCCAATATTTGGACAGACTACGTAACTTCGGCAAGTAAATGTTGTACAAAATATGAAATAAAAAGCATGCGTTCACATATTTTGTGAAAACGGAACTTACCACAATATCAAACTTATTCAATATTTTATATTTACACTGCGTGCATGTAGCATATTATTATACTTAATTCCGAAATTTTAGCGCCTTATTAACATTCCTTCTCCGTTCCTCCAATTGCTTAAATTCTCGTTTGGGACACAAAACCTGAATAAAACTTAAAACGCACTTGAGCAAAACGTATGGTTTATATAGGAAATTGATAGAAAGTTACTCGGAGTATTTGGACAGAGAGACAAGGCTAAGGGGCACAAAAAATTGGCCGATATCGATTTGCATAACTTTTGGGGGATTTTTGCTTCAACGCAACGATAAAACCTAAATATATGTGAATATGCCTATATGGTCGGGACGGCGGCATGATCTGAGCCAAAGGAAAAACTGCGAACTTCAAAGTAAAAGGTCTGTCGCTTACACATACGTTTTTTTTTTTAGAAAGTAAGCAAGCAAGCAAGCATAATTAGTTCTTTAAAGAATATTTTATACTGAAAAGCATGTCTTCTTTTTTTCGTTTTTTAACGTCTAAAATGTAATGCATTGCACTGCTAAGTTGTAAAGTTCGGGAAAATGGTCGAGGATTTGGTGTAGTTCGTCAGAAGAAGGCCACTTATATTTTGTGTCATCTGAAAAAAAATTACAAAATGTTTCCAAAGTGAGTACAAAAATCTCAAAGTTGAATTCCTTAGCTGATGTTATGAGAAAAAAATATTCAAATGAACATGAGGTCAAAAAATACTTGTTTACGATCAACAGATTATTAAAACTAACAATATTTTATGGTTCCTATTTTTTAATTTCCAAACCATTCAATTTTCTGGCCATATTTTGTAAACCATTAAATGGCACAATTTGCATGGTTTCCTTAACCAATCTTCCAAGTTTTCTTCCAACCTTAACACCCTGTAGATGGAAAACGAAGAACTTTTGACCCACTGTTTATATTAAGTTCTTCTCATAAAATGAGCTCAGAACTACGCGCATAAGATTTTGGTCTTCAACTAAGGAACACCCTGTAATTATTTTAGTTATGTTATCAAGCATAAATCACAGTTTTTACTTTTCACATCAAATTTAGAGGTTTTACCTGTGACCAATCGGATGAAAAGATATACGATTTTTACGGACAAATTGCGGATGACCCTGAAGGTCTAATGTCCGAAAAAAATAGAGGAGAGGATTAATTATCATGGGCGAATTTAATGCCACAGTAGGACGTGTCCCACGTGAGGAAATTACTGCTAAATACGGGTCAGGAACAGCAAACAGTAGGGGAGATCGGTTAGTTTACTTCTGCCAGGAACAAGATTTCATCGTCTTAAAGACCATAAGACTATACATTTTGACTTCTAGCGCCCATAACCCGGCGCAAATTGATTCGCAATGAAATATATTTCATACTGATTAAAAAAACATACAGGAACAGCAAAAAGTCCTCTAAAACATACCCAGGTCCAAACATGAACTCCGATCATAATCCACGTGTTGCAGCAGCAAGACTCAAACTCAAAATATGTCTTCAAAAATCAGGACACAAAAGGCCAAACGTGTCAAAACTTAAAGACCTAAATGGAAAAAACACTTTGAAGCGAGAACTGAATTCCAGACTAGATGCCAAACACATGTCGAAGACAGCGGAGACTGAGAAACTGTGGTCAAATATAAGAAATGCGATCACAGAGTGCACTAATATAATCCTTAAACCTCAACCAAACATGAAGAAAAAACCGTGGTGGTCGAACAAAATTATCTAATTGACGAAAGAAAGATGGACACACAAGGAGAGGAACAAGGAATACCGAGCCCTATGCTATATGAATGAATTAAAAACAAGGTAAAGGAAGTAAATGAGAATTTGCTTTCTCAGCAATCTCAAGAAATAGAAGCGATTATTGTAATCCTTTTTGGATAGCTTTTGAGAATTAGAGCATTTTTACTATCTAAATGGTTAGGTAACTTTTTAAAATTAATTTAATTACTAATTGGATCAAGATGAAATCCTGATTACCTTGTGGTAAAGTATACATTTTTAACTATGAAATAAGAGGACTCTTTATCAGTTATCCGTTATAGAAAATGGGGAAGAAATTCCGTATTTTAAAAAGATAAAACTTTGAAGCGAATTACGATAAACTTCCACCTAAACCATGAAGTCACTCGAATCAATGACTAAATAATATGTAAAATACTTGAATTTCTTTAGCGAAAGCATTAGAAGGAAGAACAAAATGTGCGGTAAATATGTAAGTAAAAATTACGGGAATAGCAAATAAAATTTACATATTTGGGAAGACCCCATCTTGATTGTGTTAAGAAGCTACAAGCTTACAGTCAGATAATCTTTGAAATGAGGGGCACCCGACTTCCTTTTCATATAATACTTTAGCACTGAAAAGGCCTGGAGATAGGGGCAGTTAAATTCTCTACATTCGTCAAAAATTAAGTGTACGTGTCCGAGGGTTTTTTTTGTAAAAGGCGCTTAGGTGCTCAAAACTGGGTCTGCTGCGATTTAAATCCGCCACCCTGTTTAATAAATGATTTGTTTCTTCCACTGTATTGCTGAGTGAAACCAAAAACATCTAAAAATTAAATAAAATGTTTCAATTTTCTTTAATTTATCCGACCACCTCTGCTTATTAGATTTGGAATTCCAGACTTGACGCTTCTCCATTCTGGAAGGCGCAGCCGCTTGAACGCCTGGCCGACGTCGGCGTCGAGACACCACGTCGGGAACCGGGGCAGTATGGCCGACTTTTCTGCACTTATCGGACGTCATCAGTCGGCCTGGATGACGTCATATGTCGCGAAAAAACATCCACTGGTGAAATGATTCGATTCGGGAATTACTTTCTAGTGACACTTAGTGATAGTGGACTAGATTAAGTAGTTCAGGATTTTCTCCATCAGGGAGAAGCGCCACACATCAAGCTGGATTCGAGAATGTCATTGCTGAGTGTTACAGGTTCGTTTCGGATAGAATATTAATAAGTTTTTAGCCTAGAATGTCATAAATATCCCGGTTTTAACTGGCTTGGTATATCTGCATAAATTACCCAATTAATTTGACGAAATTTCACAAACGGGTAATGTTGTGATCAGAACTCAATTCATCAGGAGAAATTTTTAGGGTTATGCAACGCGAGGCGCTAAACGTGCTTGGGGTAAATCAGGAAAACCAGAGCGGTAGCTGAGTTATTTTCTAATTATTTAATGTCGCACGTCCAAAAAAAAATTGAATATTGCAAAACGTGTTGCCATAATCCATAGATGTATGACACTCGTTTGGTTATTATTTTATTCAATTCTCCAAAAACGAGTTATAATTTTTGCGCTATATTTATAATATACAGGTTGTTCGTTCTTATGAGGTGTCCTAAAAAATTAAAAGCTCAACTTGTATTTTCTTTCAGTGATTTTTACTCTGTATATTTTGATCATACATTAGATAGCGCATCTTGTACCGAGTTCAACCATGTAATTAATGTACCAATGGATCTATTCGGTTACCATTTCGTTCGCCGGCTTTATCTCGCTTATATTTTTCTTGTTGGAATTTTAATAAAATAAAACTAATCATTGATCTCACACTTATATGGAAAAACTTTGCCAAAGTGTTATTTTAGCGTTTGAGAAATACCGGCCATGCCCGTCCTCAACGCTGCAAAGTCTGTGAGGAAACGATGCTGAATTTACATATGGGAGAATGGTAGACGGTTTAAAAATGTAATTTAATCTGTCAAAATAATAATTTGCTTGGTGTTTTGATCTATTGTTGTCATAAGGCAATCTTAGTTCCTCCAATAGCCATTTGTTTTTCAAAAACTGTTACTCACAAACCAATGTGGGAAGTTCGGGTCTTCAAAATACCTAGCTTACTTCAATCATAAATTTCTTTCACTAAGAAACGTGGAAATGACGCAAAAAAAATTAGAAGGAAATGTATGGAAAATCTCCCAGAAACCCTACATGGACTAGTATTTATGCAAATAACTCGAAAACAAAGACAGATACGAAAACATTGCAAGAGATCAGAAAATTTTTAAAGTTAACAGCAAATTTACCAATTTGTTCGCTCGAAGTCACTGGCGCACCACAAAAAAGTTGGGGGGGTAAAAGAGGGTGTGCCTCTAGAAAAAAGAACACCTTTTAGATTTTTACAGCCCGCCGCTTTACTTGCGGATAAAAGGTCTAAACATTAGCCCACCTGAAAAATTTTAGCAAAATGTACCATTAACTGTAGGAGATAAAGAGAAAATACCAACATTTTTTCGAAACTTTAACACCCAGTATCTCGTTAACTATGGGTCTGAGAAAAAAAACTTAAACTGCTTTTGAGGTCCTCTACACGCCCCTGCTCTAAAGGTTGTAAAAAATATAAGGTTGTGATCCACCCTGTATATTGTCTTATCTCGCCTTATTCAAATATTTAATTATTTAGTTTCCAGGCTAACGGCAAATATATGAATGACTAAATGAATGAAATTTATTTTAATAACAAAGCATTGTAATAATTCGAGCTTGATTTGCTTGAGGATGCTCCAAAAACAAGTTAATAAAAAAAATATCTGAAAATTGCAAAAAGGGTCTTTACAAATCAGAGATGTATGACACCCGTTTTGTTATAAAATTATTGCATATTTTTGATGCCAGATATTAGATGAATTACCCTATATTTATGACAGTGGAATGTAATATTTATGGCGAATCTATCCTAACATAATATACCCCATGAACAAATAATATATTTAATTTATTTTGTGCACGTTAATGTTGAAATGTACACTGAATGCTTTAGTTTTCCAAATTATATTAGCTGTGCGGTGAGCGTACATTATCGAGACTGTCTTAGTAGATTATTTAAACAGATGTTTTTTAAAATGATTTCTGAATTCATCAGTCATAGACCCTTTAATAACATATTATTTAGGTTATTCGCATCCATCTAAAACAGTGTCTTCATTGATGTTTAGCTTAAATATATGCAGAGAGGTCTATCTTTTCGTGTCTTTATCGCTCAGGAAAACAAATACAGTACAGCATTAGAACACAGGCTGCTTTGAAATGAATTGACGCAATGTTTTAGAGGGTTATTGTAGGATCATTTACAGAGCCCCAGGAAACTTTTGCATTTCGTTCTCAAATAATTTAAAGCCTGAACAAAAACTTAACATTTCTAATGTAGGTCGTAACCGACGAAGTATTTCGCAATCGGAATTTGCTGAATCGTACAAAAAGATGGACTTAACAGGCAAGCGTATCTGTTATAAGTACGCACGCACATGTTTCCTTTTAATGAATTACATATCTGTTCATTTCAGCTATAAGGGAGTTTATGGAAAGTGATATTTATTTTTGAGACTGAACAAGCTTTTGAGATAAAAATTACAATTAAAAAACGTGAGCGTTTTAGATAATTTATGTCGAAAATTTGACATTTTTTGGAACTATCTTTATTAAAATTATATCTGAAGCACGATCTCCTAGTCAATTAATCTGTTCTGTTCAGTTGCAACTATTTGTCATTTGTACATTATCGAGAACAGGGTTTCTCACTGTATCTGTTATTCATTATAATAAAATGCAGATATAAACTTTGAAAATCGATACAGATAGATACAGACACAAAAATTCATACATAAAATGTATTAAGAGTCTTTGTAAAACTGATATTGAGAGTAACGCACCAGTCCAGTTTTTTCATGAGTTTCCCTTTTAAATTTTTAAAAGATATATTTTAGAAGTACAGGTTTAGCAGCACTTGTAATTTTCGAAATACTTAATTGTAATTATATTTTTCGAGTTGCTGCTATCCAGCAGGCCAAATTCGTAGGACCTCTGTATATATAAACTGCACTCGTCTCAAAAAATGCACAAAGTGCCCCAGTGTGTAAAATCTAAACGTTCTCTGAAAAAACGATGCGGCTGGGAAAATTTAACTTCCGGCAACGTTTACTTTATTTATGGAAAGGAATTGTAAACGACACCTTAATCAGACCTTTAGGACTGCCGTCGATTCTCCTATTCTACCTTTTCTAGGACTTCTTGAACAATTGTTGGTTTGAATTAATCAAATGGAAAAACCATAATAAAATCGTCTACATTTTATCATCTTACATCTCTCATTAATGTGAACACACTTTAGAAAAATGATAAAACATTATTAGTTACAGCTGAACCAAATAATTCATTTTTGGGAATGGGGCAATTTAAAACAAAGTTGATTCAACACTTTAGGATTTATGTCCTATGTTCTATGTTCTAATAAGTAACACAATATTGCTAATGACTGCAGCAAACCATTTAAAATAAATTATTTGCCGCAATAGAATTACGTAACGCAAGTTTTAAAGTATAATGGGAAATAATAAATTTTTACTTATGTGTACGATGATTGACGAGAACTAATGGATTTTTCAATAAATATTATATCAGGTATATCATGCTCCGATCAAAACTGAATATACGTATTCGTAATTACCATTCTAATTATCAACTAAATGCTTCTATAAGCCGAAAATAGATGACACGATTTATGAAGTATGGCTTCATTGAAATTAGTTTAGTGGCTTGGGATTAAACGGTTTTAGCTTTAAATAGGAAATATGAAATTTACATTTTATTATATATTATGGTCATACTATACAGGATATGATTCACATCTGAGACCTAAAGTCTGAAACTTCAAAAAAATATCAATAAAAATTTATGCAAATAACTATTCAATTCAACATTATTTAAAACTAATGATTCTCATTAATTCATTTAGTTTTATGTGATAAATCTGTAGTGCCAGTTGATCACTGGAATGGTGAAAAGTTTGCCACAATTTGTCGACGGAGTTTAGTCGGTTCTTTAGGAAAAATAGAAAACATATTTCGCAAACGAATAAAATTGAAATATTAGTCAAAAACTTCGTCTCAGACAGTGTACAGCAACCGTATAGCTTATGTACTGGAATGAAATATAAACATCATTGAGCTGATGCAAATAGATGCTGCTTACTTAGTGAATCTAGAAAATACGAATTTAAAGTGGCATCTAGACGAACCGAACCTTAAAGGTGGGTTTACACACTCAATGAAAAGTTTCCGTTTACATGGCCAGTTTGATTTACGCAAATAGTGAGGAACCCTGAATTTTGAAGCTGATGATAAAGATGGAAAATTTGGGCCACAAATGAATTTTTATGAATACTGCAGTATGTGTTATAACATAGTAGGTACATTGCGGTTGCAAAATTTGATATTTATTAGTTTTATTTATAAATCCTTGATTGGGAATGAAAAATATGTATGAATATTGAAAAATTTAACTACAAAATAACATAAGTATCAGTTTGCCATAAAAATTGCAGATGTTAATAGATTTTTCCAGAAAACTCATAAAACGAAGACGCTTTTCTGCTTATATTTCAGTTCAACAGATTAAAATATAGAACCAACATTCTTTGCGCACAAGAAATTTCCTTATTTAATCTATAATATCCTTACTTCTTTAATACTTTTCTTTATTTTACATGTGGTAAAATATACGCTCGGCACATTTCATTGAAATTAGTTGCCCCAGCGTTGAGATATTAGGTTTTTCAAAAAAGACATTTTTTTTCACACTGCGGGCTGCTTACTCAATGGCTTCTGATGGATTATCCCTAATCCCTAATCTGGATCGACAAATTACAGTTTATATTTGCGCAAACTCTTTACTTTAGAAACACTCGTGTGCGTCCTTCCAGAAAACACATTTTTGTGATAGCACTAAATCGAAATTGCAAACAATCTAAGTTAAATATTAAAGTTGAATAAATGTACTGTTTATTAGTATTACTAAAGTATTAGTGCAAATGTTGCTTATACATTGGACATATATAAAATTCTGTGTTGATGACAAGTTCATTATGAAAACGCTTTGCATATTAAACGAATAATTAACCAAAATATTCCTCTTTTTTGGGTTTAAATCCAG